GTTAAACTGAGGTTCCATCTGCCTGTTTAGATGGATGTTAAAGATCATTTTATAATTCTCAGCTAGCTGCTGCTGTAGTATTGCAATTTTGTTCAGACATTCCAATTGGTGACTTACAGCTTAAAAAAAACTTCATTCTAACTAGTATCAATAATGTCATACTATCCTGATTTTCTGCCCAAAGTGACATGGGAGTGTTTATTTTAAACTTCCTTAAATCTGAGGTAAAGTCCAGATTCAGTTTTTGTAGATACCAAGAGACTTAATAATTTAATATTTGACAACTTTAGATACAATTTTGTCCTTTTGGTGTGTGTGTATTTCTATCACGTTATTTGGCAAAACATCAAAAGATTTCATGGTCACCTAGTGAATGGAATAACTCAAACCAGAATCTCCAAATATACATTTATTTATGTGCTAATATAAATCACTGAATTATGGTAGCATCTATTTCTAGCATTTTGGATATTGGCATTCAATATCAAATCATATTCCATTCCAGCAACTGTTCATAACTGTTATTTAAAGTTTTAGTGACTTTGAAAAGTGCAATGGAATTGTTGATACCCACACAGGCCAGGGCACTGCTGATGACAGCCCAGCCAGGGTGGCACATCAGCAGGACCTGGAAGGTCAGACTAGTCTCTGGGGGCAGGGACTCTTCCCACTCAGCAACTGCTAACCCTGAAAGCAAGCCAAAGCCCCAACAGATAGGGTGGTCCAAGTTGACAAGCAGCAGGAAAGTTCACCAGACAGTACTTCAATGGCAAGCTGGTTAGACTCCAGCAATATTTCAATGCACACTCTGGGATCCCCAAAGCCTTGACTCTTGCTAACCTGTGCCTAATACTCTCCGCAATTAGGTAAACAGGTTGCATCCCTCCAGGGAGAGAGTACGCATTCCATTCCAATAAATATCTCGGGGAATTGCCACGTAAAGGTGGGATGCATGGAACAGTTTGGAAACTCTTAATCATGGTGATAGGTTTCTGCATGTGTCAGACACCAGACTGACCAAAAAAAACCATTGCTGGTTGGATATCCAAGCTGGGGGGTGGGATCTGAAGAGAATGGGAGGGGAAAGAGTTAGGTCTTGAAAAGTACTTATGTTGGGCACAAATTCACTATTGTTCCTATGGATTGACAGCAGATTGGGGTTACTTTTGGGGTCTCATAGGTCACCAACTTTCGACTTTAAGTTTATGCATCAAAGAATGGGGACTTGAGCAAAGTCTTAGAAGATGACCAGTATCTGTGGAATTGTACCCTGGTAAAAGGGGAAAAGAGTTAAATGCCTTACTCAAAAGAAAGAAGAAAATTCCTGGAATGGAAAAACAAAATAAACGTTCACACAATTCTGAAATTCTGGCACCAACAATTCATTAAATTTCTGAACTGCATAGGTTCAGTAATTCTGAAGTAATAGTGCCACTTGCTGACTGAAAATGTGGATGTATCGGAAAGATTTTACTATGAAAACTAATTGGTAATATAATAATAGTTGCATTTGATATAATGCCTTATCACATCGATGTCTCAAATTGCTTCACTGGGTATACTGTAAAGTGGTGTGACTGTATATTTTGTTGTTGAATGCAGCAGCAGCAGCCAATTTGCACACAGCAATGTCTCACTAACAGCCATGGCGTGTGTGACCAATTTTATTTGGGGGATTGCTGGCCAGGATACCGGGAAAACTCCTTTCTCATTTCAAATAGAGACATTGGACCTTTGGCATTCTCTTGGACAGGATGACGGGACCTCAGTTTAATGTCTGATCTGAAGGATGGCACGTCTGACATTACAGCATAGCCCTAACTGCATTGGAGTTTTAGATTAGATTTTACCCACAAAATATACAGTCACTTACTTTACAGTGTATTCTGTGAAGCGCTTTGAGATGTCTTGAAGATCCGATAAGGCGCTATATCAAATGCAAGGATTATTATTATATGGGTTCCAAGTCCCAATGTGAGGCTTGAACCCAAAACCTTCTGAATCAAGAGGAGAGGGTGCTACCGACTGAGCCAGGCTGACGACACCCTGCTTAATATCTTAAACAAAAGGTTAAGATGGGTATTAATGGATAGTTTTGAATATCTTAAATCAGCTATCTTAAGGAAATGGTATTTCTATTTACTGTAGCTTCAGCCAGTTGCTAGTTACAGTAGCTTAGTTGGAAACTCATCTAAGGTTATGAGTTCAAGTGGGACAATGACATTAACAGATGTGTTTTTAGAAGACATTTGAAGATTGAAATTGCAAGGAAACCAGTTGAAAGTTTCAGAGGACACGTTGCTGAAGGCTTTGCTACCATTGATGGAATAAAGGAAGTGGGGAGTGGGCAATAGACCATAGTGAAATAGCAGAGATTCAAGCTTGGATATAGAACTGGAGAGGATTGCATTAGTAGAATGTGGAAAAACTTATGAAAGGATTTGAAGACATGGATGTCAATTTGATAGAAATAGTGGTGTGTAGTATATCAGGCTAAATTTTAAAAACTAGCAGTCTTTCTACCCCATTTCATTTTCATTGCTTGAAGGGAATTGATTCTAACTTTTGAGAGTTGGTATTGTAGAACAGCTGATTGTAGAGGAATAAATCTGCTGTTTTCTGTTTTTTTGCTAATGTAAGGCCATGAATAATCCATGAGGCCTTTCTGCAGAAAATTCCCTGGTCCACAGGGGCGTGTTCTTTTTGAAATCTACTCTTTGTAAACAGGTGTAGGTTTTTTCCACAGGAGTTGTTCAGATCGAATTTTATTTTGAGATGAAATTTTGAGTTAAAATTCTGCAGTTTTGCCTGATTGGGTGTTGAGCTACTTTGAAGAGTGATGCAAGATGAAAAGTGTGTGATGAGGTCTCTTTCAATATATTTGAGCTGGTTGCAGAGAAAGCTATGATCTGTAGCAATCTTGAGCAACCCTGTCTTCTGCACAGTAGAAGGCAGCATCAGCATTTTCGCACTACCAACGATTAAGGGACTCATGCCATAGAAAGCTCATCTGCAGCTTCAGCTGTTTCATTTGAAAACCAAGGGAAGGTTTAGTGGATGCTGTAGTAGATTTGATGCAAGACACTTGTCAATGAGAGTCATCAGTCTGGTATAGTTTCTGCATGAATCTACAGCTGCTGAAAATGCATCCTGACTTTTGAGCTCGGCACTGTAACCAGCATTGTCGTTAAATTGCTGCCTTTTACGGCAGCACAGCACGGAAAGCCCTTGCTCTTGTTAAGACACAGGGTTCCTGTTTTAGCTGTCTTCCCTCCTTCAGACTACACAACGTTCAAATATATTCTCAGAGCATTGGGGATTATTGTTTGACTGATTAAAGGATCTGCCATCATTCCTATGTTTATTTGCTTACTGCAGAGAACAACAATGATCTGTGGCAAAAAGCGCAAATGTGGCATTGACCTGCTTTGCTTTAGTTGTTGCAGTGTTCGGAGTGGAAGGGTGGGCTTTGCATGCTGCATGCTTTTCTAATGCAGTCTAATCCTTGTGCTATGATGGGTTGTTCGAATCTTTGTTTTAGCCATTTTGAGTAGTGGAATTCATTATATTGTCACCTAACTTCTAATATTCATAAAATATGCTTTAATGAAATTAGAAACTGCAAAACCCTTTTTAAATTGTATTGTCTACAGAAGTTGGAATTTGAACCATTGACCTTTTTTGTAAATTGTCAGATAGATATTGTCTTGGTTCTTTAGGCAGCTTGAAGCTTAAAACCTGCTTATGTTGATGTAGCTATCTGCATTTTACAACTGTTTCTCCAGTAGAATTTACTGGTACTTCTGATTATCACTCTTCTGTAACTTGATCAGAATAATGCTTCTTGAACGTTTTACAATTGTGACTGTGGTCTGAGCAGTGCAGGATTTTTCTAATTATGTTTTAGATGTTAGCATTTAATCTTATGGGAAGCATTTACTGGTCATGAATCATGTCATTTTTAAAATTGTTAATGTTAACCTATTAATGAATTACCACCACTTCTTATTGTCTGAACTGCTGAGAATGAATCTCCATTATTTGCCATTTTATCTGGAATCGGTGAAGATTTCATCCATTAAAATTGTGCTTCCAATGATGATTGGAACTTGACTTCATTTATCTTATAAATCTAGGTATCAGGGAACCTCTTCAATATTTAGTGGAACATTTTTTCTAAATTTCATTTTAACCGGACGAAACTCAGTAAATTCTGAATTTAAGATTTTAAAGATGTGATATGACACTATTTCAAATGCAAGGATTATTATTATTATTATGGGTTAATAGGAAAATCAGTTTTTACCAGTAAGCTGAATAATAGTTGAGTGGGTAGTGACGTGCTGGTTGTTTGCGTGTGAGTATATACATATTTAAGAAAAAAACAAGTTAAAATAGTTTGGTTCCTGAAATTAATTTCTAAGCATGCTTGGTTTATTCTCCACCTTGTACATATTAACGTTTGAAGAATCTTCTATATACTTGCTTATCCTGATTGCTTGCTTGTATTCTGATTATTGTATCTAAAGATAGACTGGAATCTGTATACTTTGACTTAAATTATAGCATATATGTTCTCATTTCCAAATATGCGTAATATCTTGAAGAGGAGTCAAGACCATCAGGAATAAAATTAGTCTAAATACTTCCCCTGTAGTTATATAATCAAAACTCTTAGCTTTATAAAAACCCTTTAAAATACTTCATGGGTTGCAGAAGATTTGCACAAGCGTATGTCTAGTGACACTAAAAACATTAGCATTATCTTAGTTATGGAAACTTGCTCGTTTTATAATCAGGTATGAATCAAACTGTTCAGTAACTTTATACATTGAATAGATACTAGGAACTGTATGAAAGAAGCATGGCAAAGTTGGTGAGAAATTGGCAAATATTATCAAGATACTTTAAACAGCCATCTACTTGCACTGGAAATTTCATTCTATAGCAGAACATACAATGTGGCATTGTTGCTAAGATTGTTTTTCACCGTTTTTCAGGCAGAATCTGGCTATGGATCAGAATCCAGTTTACGACGTCACGGTTCAATGCTGTCTCTTACATCTGCAGCAAGTGGTTATTCTGCCACATCCGCCTCTTCATTTAAGGTAAGAAGTATTCCCTTATTTGCTTTTGTTAGAAATTCTAATTAGATGATGTGCAATGCACTTCATTGAAGAAAGTACCTTGTTGCTATGGTAAGCATGGAGTCCACCTGCTGATATCCTTCATCAGGTGTTTCATCACAACAGCTGATAGTAAATTGATTATCCCATGTTTTCTAGCGTATGATGACTGATCTGTCACCAAGTTGGCTGACCAGAGAATTGTGTTAGTTGGTGACGGGCGGCAAGAATTGAAGAGAGATTTTCTCAACTGGGGAAGGAAGAAATTATTTAATTTATAAATTATTTTATCCTGCAATGTACCATATCAGTGTAGAAAGTTTTACACATACATTATACTAACCAAGATTCATTTGCCCTCATAAGATTGTCATTGAAATACTGACTTCTTTTTTGGGTATTGTACTCTAAGGGCTGAATATTCATAGCTCAATTACTTGATCGCTGCAGTGTAGCGGTGGTGGTACCATTAGCAGAAGTTAGCTTAGTTAGTTTATTGTCCCAGAGTTGAGGAAAAGCAAGGTAACCAGTTTCTAGCTGCTGATTGTAGTCCAATGACTACTGATGAATGTGTCAATAACATGGTGTCTGGTGAGGACTGGTTCAGTTGTAGCTGTAACAGTTCAATGGTCCAATACCTAATGATGCTCACAGTTCAGACTTGTACACTAAGAATAAGCTCTTTAGCAAAAGACTGGAGGACTTTCAGCCACATTGTCGTAGGATGAATTACTGCCTTAAAAAGAGCTGAATTCGGAAATAAAGTAACTTTATGGATATTAAAATAGGTGTGAAATATCTGTAAATAAATGATGTACTAAGCCATCAACTCATTGGTGGTTTCTTCTGACGAGTTGACTTGCATTTTGCAGAACCTATTTCATAATGATACATTATTAATAGTTTGAAAAATCTGATGTTTGCAACAAGAACCTTCTTTGGAGTAGGGATCCCGCAAGTTGGTGGTAGCGTACTGCCAGTTTTCAGGAGGATTCCCTGTTAATGACTGAAGAGCTCTTAGCACTATAGACATTTACAGCATAGAAGGCCATTCAGTGCTGGCTCTTTTAGAGCATCTCATTTACCTAACCTTTCCTCATATCGCTATAGTTTATCAGTGAATCCCATTGTCAGCAGCTGCTTTTTTGATCCCAGCATATACTGTCCTCCAAATGTTGCATCTTCCTCCCTCCAATGCACTTTTCCACAGACACATTTTGCTGTGTAGACAATTGTACACAAAGTTCATATGTGGAATTTTGGTCTTTTGGGAAATGGCAATCAACAAAGAATCAGTCTTGAAGTCCACACAATCACCAAAAACAGTAATTTCTTGTGAAAAAATCTGCATGGATCTAGATGAAAAACTATACAGTAATTCATTTTTACCACAGACTTCCATTGGGCCAGTCCAAGATCTCAACCAACAGGTAGGAAAGCTTGAAAATTGCACATAAGCAAAATGCACTGTTGGAATTATTACCATAGACCTTCAGCTGCTTCTTAAGCAGGTTTATTCTTTGTGACTTGTATATAAAATACAATGGGTATTTAATGGTAGATGTGCTTTGAGCCTTAAACATTTTTATTTGTGGGGTTTAAGTGTATTATTTGAAGATGCTTTCTTTATGCTTTTTTTCTTTGTCTTTATCCTTTGGAGATCAGTGATCAAAAGAAAGTAAGCCTTAAGTGCCACCTGTAAGTCAAATACCCACAATATGGATTGAGCAAAAAGCTGTCTTGGAAGCAATTTCTAAAATGTTCTTCGGGAGGAAGTTGAGAGTTTCTTCAGATCTGCAGATTTCCAAATATTTCACATTCTAGAACCTTTAGGACAGGTTAACACATAACCAGTAGATTCATATCAAGTTTCACTGATCTTTTATTAATGTCACACAGGCTATAAAATGAATGCATCCTAAGGTACTGACCATCCATTTGATTGGAGGGAAGGATTTTGTACAGCATACCATACCACCATGTTTTTAAGTGGACTTTCTGATCTATGAGAGAATTTAAAAATCACGGAGGAAAATCTTGTCAGACAATAATAATCACTGAGTTTGGGACAGAGGTGTACAAGCTGCAAGGCTCAGGAAAGGGGATTGGTAATCTGAATGTACACTTTGGTTTACACAAGTATTTGGATTCTCCTAATTGTTTGGTTCACAGACTTGGCTTGTTTTTGCTCTGAAACTGGTCCATTCAACTCACCAAGAGAGGGCCCACTGGGTGTTTTGTACACAGCAGTACAATGACTTCCACTGAGGCCACACGCTTTGAGTCATTTCTGGGACATGAACATTCTGCTTACAGTAATTCACGCTCCTGTTTGTACAAGGAAATTAACAAAATAAGAAGGAATATTGTATTAACTTAGACTTCACTGTACCACCAGTATAATGGGGGAAATGCAAAAATGTTAACTTCATCAGGAGGGGAGAGAGTGGAACACATAATATATATAAAATATAATCTATATATGGACGCTGTCATCTCTGTTCACAAACTGAGTGTGAACGGAATTCCTTAAATATAGCCAAGTGAGCTGTAGTTACCTGGGAAACGTATTGTGAAAGTCTCCCTAATTTCACAATGTACCTCGATACAAATATGAAAATGACTGATAGTATTTTGCAGAGATTGAATTACAGTTAAAGATGAAATATTATCCGTGTCGTAGGAAATCTAACCTGTAATTCACAAATATGGACATCATGCTGTGATTCTTATTGATGAGATTTTCATTTAAATAAAGGGAACATTGTCGTTTCTTCAAGTGTACTTTCAGTGGGATTATTAGAATTACACTTCCCATGTTAGAAATATTTAGTCCTAAAAAGTAATCCATTCTGTCTGGTGCTGTAGTTTTCACAATAGATCTTCTTTTATGGGAGCTGTTTTATTATTTATGGCTTAGAAAAAAAATATTTTCTGAGTTCTATCATCCTTGCCAGGCTCCTGCAGGAGGAATCCCTGTATCCCTGTCAACTTCTTCAAGGTTCTCATCCTTTAAATACAAATCCCTTCATTCCCACACATTTCCCTAACTGATCTCTCTCATAACCCATTCTTCTCCTCATCGCCTCCATCTGGTTAACTCTGGCCTATTATGTGTCCTCCGACTCCCCTCTATACAACCATTGCTGGCGTAGCTTTCAGATTCTATACCCCTATCTGCTGAAACTCCCTCCGTCTCTCCCCTCTACCTGACTTTAAGTTCCAAACTCAAATCTACTTCTGGTCACGTCCTCTCCCCTCTCCTTTCTGCCTTGCTCAGTGCCTGACCTCATCATTCAGCACTCACATAGTTATCCTACGTGAAGGGGGACTATGTAACTGCAAGTTGTAGTATAATATTTAAAAAAATTACATTTTTATTTTAGAAATTAGACTCCTGTGTTTGTTTTTTTATTTCAGAAAGGCCACAGTTTGCGTGAAAAACTTGCTGAAATGGAAACCTTCCGTGATATCCTATGTAGACAGGTGGATACCCTGCAGAAGTACTTTGATGCATGTGCTGATGCGGTTTCTAAAGATGAACTCCAGAGAGATAAAGGTGCTTTGGTGGAATCACCCTAAACAAAATCTGTTGAGTGTAATGCTGATTCTTCTAACTTCAAAAATCATTTGTATAGTGCTTCTATTGTAGTCAACCCTACTGACCAGCTGCCATGTTTGTCTTTACATTGGTCAATAAACCTCACAAAGTAACCTATTCTCTCATCTTGGTGTTGGTGGGAACGAGGGTTTGCATTGTCGTGAATTCTGTGAAGTACATGAATAATTTGAGATTTGCTATTTCTTCAGCTCTGATTTCTGCACTGAGTAACTGCAAGCTTTATAAGAAAGGGTTAATTTAAAATTCTGGAACAAAAAGATGCATTCCTCATTAGATAGTTTTGTATATTTGTTTTTCTGTACCTTGAAACTATATCGGTACCAGTCATGTATTCAGAGAAATTCAAGTGCAACAACAATTGTCGTCTCTCCCTGAATTAACCGCATCATTCATCTGCATCTGCCAAGACCGTTAAATAGAGGGCAGTGTAGTTGGAATGTGTATACACACAGTACTGCAGTTTTACAGTCTCATAGCATGGTGGGGCTTAAGATGAAGTAGAAAGTGAATAAGAATTGTTTTCATTTCACGGAGTTCTCAGTTGGTGCACTGAAAGTTTTAAATTTTTATTTTAGTAGTAGAAGATGATGAAGATGCTTTTCCAACGACGCGAACTGAAGGAGACTTTGTACCTAGTAATGGCAACAAAGAGAAATGTAAGTATCTCTTACATTAAGATCAGTATTGCTGAAGATTTATTTGTGTTTCATTCTTTGTGTTGAACAGTTGGTCATTTAGATTAATTTCCTTACAAGTCAGACTAAATAGGATTTTGGACTGGATTTTGCCCAGTCCCTTATTTTCTTGTTTGTCAGCAATTTTACATATCTCTTGAGGAATTTGAATCCTGCAGGAGGAATTTCTTAACTGCTCTTGAAAGCAGATGGGAGCAAAAATTACTAAATGATTTTTAAAAAAAAAATTTCAGTCTCTCATTCTGATCTCCAACTTGCAACATAAAACTTTCCTTTAATTTATTTTTTTGGCTTCTTCTATGGTCTACGTAAGTGCCCATTCTTCATGGTAGTGACAAATTGCACAAAAGAGGCCTTAGTTTTTGTGCCCTTATTGCAATAAGGCTGGTTTCCATACTCCTCTTTCCCATATTGATGTGCAGTGCTAAACATTGTTAATGTACCTTGTGGAAGATTGCGTAGTGTCACATGGCAGTGCTCCAACTAATAATTTTAATGTAGACTACATTAAATTGGATACCATTAGCATTCTGCGTCATCATTAGACAAATTCCACATGATGGATAATTCCATATAAAAAAACATTATTGCAGAAGAAAAGTGTAAAAATTAAAGGATATTCTAATAATTTAGGTTTTCTTATTGATGGGCATTTGAAAACCATGATTGATTCTGGACAATGTTTGCTGTTAAAAACTTAACAAGAATGAAAGGTCCTTTATTATAAATTTTGCTGGTTGTTTTTTCTGACAAACTTAAAACGTTTTCCTTCTGTGCTTTCTTTACATATTTAAGTGACTGAGACTTATACTGGGAAGTCTTTAATTATTGTTTTAAGTATTGCTCAAGTGGCATTGCATAAGTCATCATTGCCTAATGTTGATTTTTTTTCTAATGATCTTGTACTCTGTTCTGTGCAGTGTTTCCATATGCAATACCCAAAGGAATCAATGGAATAGATTTTAAAGGTGAGGCCATCACTTTCAAGGCTACTACAGCTGGAATTCAGGCTACACTTTCACACTGTATTGAGCTGATGGTTAAACGAGAAGATAGCTGGCAAAAAAGAATTGATAAGGTAATAACTGAATAGAATCCACACTTGGCACAAGTTTTTGTTAAATTTTGAATTTCTATATGTACATAATGACATTATGGATGTATATTTAATCAGAATGTTTCAGTTTTAGGTTGGATTAAATTTATCAGATGTACAGAAATGAGTAGTTTGTAAAATAAATTGGTAATCCATGTTTTCACTGAAAGTAAAACATATTAAAATATCTGATAACACCACAAATATCACAATTTAATTATTTTACTACAATTTTCAGGAAAGTGAGACGATTGTGATGTTGAGGTAGGTGCGAAGAGGGGAAATCTAAATTGTAAATGCTCCTCCATATGTGAAAATTACTCTCTTCAACCCCTTCAGTGTCCAGTTTGATTATGTAATTCAGCAGACATTTTGCTAGTTGCTCTTATTTTGAAAGCATCAAGTGAATTGGAGATTTTTTTTTAAATAGCCATTTCCTAAAATAAAACTTAGTGATGAGCGTTGTGACTTTGATCTGAGGCTGCAGTTATTAATCACGTGCTTAGTACAAAAATACAAGAACCAGCCTATTGCAACCACACAGAATTACTTGGAAACTTAGATTTATTTTGATCTCTCACAGGAGATTGAAAAGAAACGAAGGATAGAAGATGCATACAAGAATGCAATGTCAGAACTTAAGAAAAAATGTCACTTTGGAGGACCCGATTATGAGGTAAGTTCATAAACTTACAATTTCTTCCAGTCTCTGAAATACCAGCTTTTTCATCCTTTTTAGAGCTTGCTTTCAAAGTATTATTTGGGAGGAAAGATGATGGAAACGTTTCCATCATCGTTTCCTCCATATAATACTTTGAAAGCAATCTCTAAAAAGGATGAAAAAGCTGGTATTGCAGGGTCTGGAAGAAATATGCATTCAAGATGAAAAAGAATAGGAAAAGGCCATTTAACTTTGATCTCCACCACTGCCCTTTCCCACTTTATCGAATTTGCATTTTCAGAGATTCTGCGTGTGAAGTCGTCTGCCTAAATCCATGATTCCAAAAGTTAATTCGGCAAAAACTCCAAAATATCTATCCATGCCTACATCACTCCTTTAAAAAGGCTTCGGAAACACAGGAGCCATTGTATTGTGTGGTGTATTTGGTCATATATTTATGCAGCTTTTTCAGTGTGTTAATTGACACAGATTTAATAATTACCATAATTACCTCTGAACGTCTCCAGTCCATTTGTACCTTTCAGAAGAGTTGAACCCAAGAAGTGTATATATTCCAAATATTGCTTCACTTGTATTTTCTATGGTTAGAATAACTTATTTAGCTACATTATTGCACAGACTAGCTGCCTACGCAGTGAATGGGGTCCATACTGCAACTGCATTATGACCAAATTCGCACAATTAAAAAAGCACATTATAATGGCCTCACTGTACTTGTTTAGCCACAGTCTTAAATCGTCAAAATACTGAGGAACTTTTGAATATTTAGACTTTTGAGTTTAGCAGACTTCTCACTTGGAGCGTTAATGAGGATTATTTAGTCATGAAAACAGAATAGATGAATGTCCAAGTTTTGCAGGCATGTACTCCTCTGCTGTTCAGTTGATTTTTTCATTTGTGTAATCACTGCAAGTTTACTGATTATTTCTGCAGTTCTTGGATGTTGGAGAAGTCGACTTTTCTGGATGTTTGTTAACTATGATATTTTTAAAAAAGAACTTCCTGTTGCTAAGTTTTATTGGAGTCTTCCAACTATTATATCTTGCCTATATGAATTTACATTGTTTCAAATTGAGTATTAAATTTGAAGTTGCTCCAATGTTCATAATACTAGATTGCCATTGAAAACCCTTCTGTACTGTAGTGCACATAGCTTACACGCCCAGGCTATTAATCTAAAAATGACACAGCATCATTCAGGAAGGATAATGTTTGGCTATCGTATCCATCTTCTTTGTCTTTCATTTCTACGTCTTATCCTATATCACATCCACTTTCTATTTTAATTCTCCAGTAATCAGTTTATTAATGTCCCCTTTTTAAATTAACTGAACTCAGTATCTAGAGAAAAGTGCACTGTCTTCTTGTTTGGCTCCTTTCCCAACGTGCCATTAGTAGTACCTAGTGCTGTCCTCACTTGCATTATTCTTCATCCAATTACATTGCAAAATTATGTAGTACTCTTAGCTTCCATTTTGTAAACAATTTGATTTTTGAAATACCATATTTTTTGCATGTAATATTTATACTGCACTTCCCAGTCTCTATATGTTGCCAATATAATCAATGGAGAATTTAGATGTATTTGTCTATAAATATAACAAGTCTGTTTTAGTTCTTTAAAAAGCTTGTGCCTGAAAGAACTAAGATTGAATTTTTTGTTTACACTGAATTCTCTGATCTCAACTGGAGGTAGCATTAGGTGTGCTATAATTAATCTTGTCCTCTTGGCAGTGGGAGGGGAATATTTATGTATGTTCTTCATTACTAATTAATGACCTCTCCTGGAAATGTGCAGGTTTGAGTGAGGACTGGATTGGACAAGCCTGCAATTAACATCTTCAGTCATATAGTCTGGCTTGAGTATGATTTGATTGAGTTACTGGAGAGTGCTACTCCGTTATTAGATGGAGGAGAGAAACGTATACACTTTTAGTAGCATCAGACCCGTTTCCAAGTTCAAAGCAAACTACTGAAATATAGTTTGCATTGTCTTTTACATGGCTACCTGCACTCACCAGTCTTCACGTCATTATCACTATCCCCTTATCACTATCTTATACTTGTATCCCTGGTTACAGTCTCCCTAACCATTGGGAACAGCCTATTTATGCTAGCCTTATCGAACCCTTTGATAAAATGTTATTAGGATCCCTCTTATACATCTCTTCTCTAGCGACAAAACCTATCCAGCCTAAAGCAAACCTATGCTGTACTCATTCCACCATTGCTATATCCTTCTTATGGTAGTTAAGACAAAAAAATATTTTTTTGAGTTCATTTTTCGTACCATGTGATGGTGTGCTTACCACATACCTTGAAAATCACTACATACCTTGATCTTGTTTCTTGTTTCTCATTTTATAGGAAGGTCCAAATAGTTTGATAAATGAGGAGGAATTCTTTGATGCTGTTGAAGCTGCTCTTGACAGACAAGATAAAATTGAAGAACAGGTATTTCTTTACATGTCTTAACATATCTGTTTGAGTGATTTTCCCTCAATAACATAACTTCGCTGTTGACTTCAAGCCAGTAAAATATACCAAGCATGTTGTGAATATTATAATGTCGTGTTTTTTATTTCTAGTCGCACACGGAGAAGTCCAGAATTCATTGGTCAGCTGCTGTACCTTTAGGCGATTCATTCTCTGCAGTTGGTACCCATAGATTTGCTCAACAGGTATGGTGACCCGATGTGTTTATTTGAAAGTCAAAAATAACCAATATTTGATTTCTGGTATTATTCGGATATTTCATTCTCCAACATCAGTGCTGCCAAGTATGATAGTCTTATTTTTGTTGAAGTAAGAAAATTAAGGTAGCAGTTCTGATCGAAGCTGCAGTGTTACGTTCAGTTCACTGAACTACTTATAGGTTTGTGGAGTACTGTAGCTCAGTGGTTAGTGTACTCGCATTATAAGCAAAAGACCTGGGTTCGATTCCCAGCAGGGCTAAACCTTGGGCAAGTTTTCTTACTCCACACGCCTGATAATATCCCTCAAAAAAAAATTAAAAAAAATTGATCACTTCAATCCATGACTGTTTGTGGGACACTGCTGTGCGCAATTGGTTGCTGCGTTTCTCCCACAAGTATAAAGTAAATTCACTTTACAGTATATTCTGTGAAGCGCATCTGGAAGACATGAAAAGCGCTACATCAAATGCAAGGATTATTATTATTATAGTGATCATGGTGGTTAGTTGAATTTAAACATGTAAATATTTCTCTCCCTCCCCCAACACTGGAGTTAAACATTACTCTAGAGAATAGAAACAGGAGAAACTCTGAAATGTATGTGGATGGGAATGAATAATCCATCTTCACAAGTGATGATGACCTTAAAAATCTGTGCTCCGAGTCATTTTAAACTCTGGAATATAATTGACATTTTCATACAATCAACTTATTTGTTCCATGAATGTAAAAAAAAGTTTATTTTTAACAAACTGCAGCTTTTTTCAACTGCCCTTTAACGTTTAAAAATGATACTAGGAAGCTATTGTGAAGCACAATTTTGAGTGGGCTGAAGGTTTTTTGGCAGCATAATTTTTTGGTAGTTTAAACTTAAAAATACAGTGGTTCATTTTATATTTAAGTGCGTTGAACCTGAAAGCAACTTAGTGTGTATAGGTCTGCATGGTGTAAGTTTATACTTTATAGAGTAAATTTTGGAAAACTAAGGTAATTTTACTAAAAAGATTTGACTTGTAAAGGGAAGTTTGTCAGAAATGTGTGAACACCAATGGAATTTATGCAGAAATTTCTATTAATTGCCTGAAATGCTACTGAAATTGAAGGAAAGTATTGTGTACAAAAGTATATTTTGGTTGAACTAGTTAAAAAAAAAGTATCTTGAGCCAGGAATAAATACCATTTAGTCCATTTAGTTTTGAGGGTTTCTATAGTATAATATCTTACTATCTTTTTTAAAATCTGGGCACTGGTTGTGAAATATCTTCAGATGTACATAGTTGTGACTATTTTGGCAAATGCTTTATGCAAATGTTGGTGGGATACAGTACATGGTTGCATGATACAGTGCCTGTGCCAATTTCTTTAAAACTTATAAGCTCTAAAATTCCATTTTTTTGTGGTGAAGGTTACTGATTGAATGCTTTGCTATGCCTTTGTTCTGAACTGGGTTTTTCTTTGTCTGTCTCTGTGGTAGCCTTTTAGTCGCTCTTCCTCCATGTCTTCCATTGATCTAGTCAGTGCCTCTGATGATGTTCACAGATTCAGCGCCCAGGTACTGTATAAAAACAGAATGGTTTTTCTGTTGCTCACTTCCTATTCACTTCTTCACCTGGGTTTCCCTCCACTCTGTTCATAGTGGTTGCTGGTGATGCATGTTTGAGACAATTTATTCCCTGAGCTGAGTGTATACATCGCCTGTAGGACACAGTTTTGTTGAAATAAATCTTGCCATTTCCACTTACACTTGAATTCATTTTTTTTTAAACAAGAAAATATAAAGATTTGTTCAGTATAGTACTGTTGAATATATTTTTTAAAAAGGTCATGTTAAAAAAGCAGACTGGAACAAAATAAATAGTTAGTAAATAACACTTCGAAAATCTATTGAATAACTAAATTAATAATTAATTTTAAATCTGATTTCTTGCTCCATGGAATAAGTTAATCAAAACATAACAATGCTGCTGTAACCTTACATATGTCAGAAAGTATGCCACATCTTGCTAGTGCACTAATTTGATTTTTTTTAAGGCCATTTGTAGATTGAACTTCAGTGGTATTGGGTTTTGCCTTTACTCCTGAAGTTTTCAAAGGCCTGAATGACCACCTTCTGTGCTGCATGGTTTTATTTTTCTACTACAGCTGGTTTCCTTAATCTAATTATTTCATTAATTCAACCTCGAGTCTGGCATTCCATCTACTCAACAACAGCAACTTGTATTTATATAGCTCCAGCGGGGATGATAAAGCAAGAGTGTTAGTGAGGACATTGCCTCCTTAAGAAAATTGTTCCTCTTGCGTTAATTCGTATTCATATCCCTCCCTCATTACAGTCTTAGTTTGAGACAGGCCTACAGTTTTTTTTTCGTCCCATGATTAAAATAAACGTTAATTACAGATATTGATTCATTTTTACCACAATCTTTTCCAAGATGTTCTTTGAACAAGAGAAATCAGTTTTGCACTATTCCTGGTAATACTGGTTTTGAATAATGGTGCTTTGTTATTTGAGCTTTATGGTTACTACCAGTTAGACCTCAGTCATGTTCAGCTTGCAATTACTGATTAAATCTGTGTTTGTTGAGGTCGACATCCAAACTCCTGCCTTTATTACCTTCCGGTACTCATTATATGAAGTTTGTTCCAGAATTGTAGGGGTCAGAGTTTATTTAGTAGTGTTGACCTCTGTGGTGCTGAGGTTTGGTGGTGGCATTAAAAGGAAAATATTTTTCTTTTTTTTGTCAGCCAGATTTCTGACACGCAGAAATATGTTGTCTTACTTAAGAGACAGACAGAGTTCTACATGTGCAAGAAAATTTCCCTTTGTGTGCAATGGAATGCTCACTCTTTCCCAGAAGGACATATCCTACTCACTTAATTATGGAAATTATTTGGCAGGGTGGCAAGAGCCAAGTAGGTGTTGGAGTACTGGTGGAGTTTAAACAGCATAGCTTGTCATTGTGAAACTGTCTGGCAAGATTTCTGGTGCTTATCCAGCTAGGACCACCCTATTAGTATGGCTATGGCTTCAAGGGGTTAACAGGAGCTGAGTGGGAAGAATCCAGCCCGCAGTCTGCATCTTGAAGTCCTACATATCAATTATTGCATTTCATGGATTAGAAAAATTGTCAAGAGCAGAACAAGAAGCAGAGACCCAAGAAGAACCAGTGTATTACCACCTTGAATTAGAGGTTGTTCCCACACCAGAAATGGGATGCAGGTTCCAAGCTTTAAAACAGTCCTCCATATAGTGCCTTTGATATAGTAACTATGTCTCAAAAGAGCTTCACAGGATGTACAGTGCAGCAAAGTATAGACTGTATTTTGTAGATAAGTGGCCAGACATGAGAGAGTTGGGTTTCCAAACAAACCCTAAAATGGTTCCACTTCACAAATCCACTCGTCCTTTTGACTGACAAGTGCTCTACAGGGAAATTGGCAAACTTTTTGGAATATTAATTCGATGGAGGTGAATTTGCAATGAAAAAAATAAAATTTTGTGCATGTTGGCTAACTATTCGTAAATAAATAATGAAAATTCTTGCATTTGATATAGTGCCTTATCACATCTTCGAGATGTCTCAAAGCACATCACATAATATACTGTAAAGTGAATTCATTATGTATTTTGTAGACAAAAGGCATGAGAATCAAACTTCACAATATGTCAAGCCTTGAATGTAGTTCTAATGGGCCGTGTTGGAAAATCAGTTACAGAATGATTGTGATAAATATAGCATAACATAAAGACAACAATTATTTCAGGTCTTCTATGGAATAAAACACTATGCTGACAAAGCACAAGTTCTCATAGGTGGTTCAGAGATGTGCTTCCCATTTGTTATTGAAGTCTGAGAATAACTGAGAAAAATAACAGTGAAATTCCTTAGTATTGAGTTATTTGATGCCTTGTGTTTGACTTTCCTAAAGAGGCTCATCTGGCTAAAAGTCTTAAATTCTTATGGACTCAATCTGAATGTATTTGGATGTTGAATAACCAATAACAACCTAGATTATCTGGACTGTAATGTCAAATAATATTGGTTGCCTCTCCATTTGAGCACCTGAAATGGCACATCACAAGTTTCTCGCAAACTGTTCTTAAATATTGCTGCATCAAAGTATACTTAAAGGTAGAGTAAATGTCATGAATTGTCCATTTCACCACATTCTTTCAGCAAATCATTTGATTGCTCTAAAGCGAATTGAGGTTTTGAAGGTATCTAATTGTATCTCTTTCATCACTAATTGGAATATCAATTAGTTTGTGTGTAGTTGAGCATGCTATCCCAGACTTCCCCCTAATAAACCTATTATAATACACTTGAGTAGTTGGTGAGGCTACTATTATTGCTTCTTTAGTGTTTTAATGCATGTGTATTTATTGTATATTGTACATGTATGTCGGCACAAGCAGTAATTAGTGGCCTTCTCAAGTAGTCAGTGTATTATATACTCCACCTTGTGCCATTGTCTGACACGAATTCAAGCAGGTCATCTTGCTTGGAGACTTTAAACCAAACTATTGAGCATTCCACATAGGTATGATTTCTAGATGGCTGATATGGATTCTCTCCCAAGAGGGATGTACTGAGCTTGCCTAATCTCGAAGACTTTAGGTACAGGTTGTCTAGAACCAAGGCTTGGGTATTGCAGGTAAAGGAAAGAATGTTATACCTCTAGTTCTGTATTAGCATAAGGAGAGCGAGAATAATATGACATTTGTTAGGTACCTGCACCGTGTTTTTTTCTCACATACTGACTGGCATGGTCAAGCAAGCTATTTGCCCCCTCTTCCGATGTTCCTTTTCTTTAGCAGGTAACCTAACTTTAATAACAAGCCACACTCTTCTTTTTGACAATGGAGGGCTTTAGAGTCTTTCTTTAAAAACCCTAACTCCTCTCTCCTGCCTTTTTTTCATCTATAACTGAGGTTCTGCCAAAATGATTCTCTTTCATCACATTTCTTCTCTACCAAAAACAATCTTCTTTCTCAACAAAATTATACTCATTTGCTCCACTCACGATTGAATAGATGAATTCCTACAGCAGGTGATGTGGGGCAGGAATGCTGGATATCTTGATTGTATTGCTGATGAATTTTAATAACAACAACAACAATTTGGATTTATATAGCGCCCTCCATGCCTGACGGTGTTTCAGAGCGCTTAAGAAGAACATGAGGCAAGATTAGCTCTTGTGCTTTGTTTGAAAATGCTGTTTAGGATGATATGGACAACAACTACCACTTTATGACTGGGTTCTACTGTACATAGTAATGGTAAAACGTATTGAAGGATATTCAGATAATATATGGTGATTTGTATCTCCCTAGTTCGGGTAGCTGTGTGACTAATTATAGTGCTGTTCTGACTTTAGCTTTTTTCCTGTCTTAAATTGGTTTTAAGCCTGGTTCACTTTGGTCAGTGATGGTGTGTGGTTTCGAGATGTGTCTCTCTTCACGACTCTTGTGAGAGGCTTGTGAGAAATTTGTTGCAAACTCAGCATAATTTTGCAGACCGTCAAGATAAGCATTAGAATCTTTTGAGAACATCAATTTTGCTAAAGGAAAATCTCATCAAAATAATCTCAGAAAAACACAGCTCTGTCTCCAGGCCATATGGAAAATGGCGTATGGGATGGGGGGGCATTGTCAGAATGGTTCAAAATGCCTTCAGTTGAGTTCCATTCCATGCAGTATGTTTAATATAGTGCTGAATTGCTGTGGTGGACACCCTCTCGAACTAACTAGAGCAACAAATAGTGTAGTAAACTGCTGAGTAGTTGATAGCTGACAACTCACCTCTTTAAGTAAAGTTTTGACTTGATCTCTTGTCATGCAGGATTTTCCTTTGGATGCGGTGAAGACTCGAGCCACTTCAGCAACCATTGAATCTATTCCATTGGCTGGGATAGACTGTTGCTTTAAAACAAATTCTGATTGACTATTGTGGAGAACAGGATCTGATGGTTAAGCCTCCCAAAAAACTCCTTGGGTGCAAGATCCTCTTTCAGTAATTTCTTTTGACCAGTAGAAAAATAATTTAAAAATGAAGCAATGTAAGAAAGAAGCAAAATGAATTAAAAGGAAAATGCTTTGAGGTTGTTAGTCCTCAACACACTTCGTAACGACTGCCTCGATTGTACTTTTTCTCAAGTTCTGGTGACAAGTCTGTAAAACCACCTTTGGGTCCCGGAAACTGATCTGATTTAATCTGATCTATTCTGATTTAATATTTATTTGGATTGAGGAATCTTTCAAACTGCTTGAGGTTTGATCTAGAGAAATAAATATGAAATGTAATTGCTAAGTGCTTTGACCATTAACTTTCAGATCAACTTCTGAAGCAGAGGTTTCCACTTGTTTTCTGTACTATGATGTTTATAATTGTTAAATATGGAGTTGATTCTGTATCAAACAGTAAAGTATAAAGTGTGAGGATAAGGGAGGGAAGAAAGTGTGGTGGAGAGAACCCCTCAACTATTAACGTTCGTGTGCCGAATGCTTTAAGCAAGATACCACCTGTTGTATAACAACAATAACTTACAATTATATAGCGTGCCTCAAGGAGGGTAGGGTCCAGGAGCACTTGATAGTGGCGGAGCATGATGCTGAGCCGGGGGGAGGGTCGCTAAGCAAGGTCTAAACTAAAGTATCATTGATGCCCCGTCTATAATATATATAGTTTATGTTGATGCAATTCTGTTTGCATTAGTGCATAGTCAAAGTGCAATATATTTAGATACATGGATTCAACTTCAAGACACCTTACTACAGTTAAATCCAGGAATTCATACGTTGGCTGCAGTATACATTAGGTTCTTACAACAGTCTTTTTTTAAAAAAAACTAACACTAACAGCTTTTTATTTTGCTTAGAGTTGATCACAAGGACAAATTATTTTTACACACTGCCATTCACAATCACATAGCTTACTGCTAGTGAATTGGTCAACTATTTGATATGGATCAGGGGCATGTTTTAAATTGATGTCACCTTTAGTCTGCTGTAACATATTCCAATATTTATATAACCCATGACAAGTAAACGGCTTTACTGCTGCTGCTTGTGTAAAATGTCATTGTTCTTCTTTACAGGTTGAGGAACTTGTGCAAAACCATATGCAGTACTCTTTGCAGGATGTAGGCGGCGATGCTAACTGGCAGTTGGTGGTAGAAGAGGGAGAAATGAAGGTGAGAGACCTGCCTGTCTAAAACACTTTAGGTCCAGTTAATTTTAGTTGAACTGGTAGCCTAAATGCGCAATAATTTGTGCTAACAAAAAATGAGGCCAGTTTTATGCACTGGGATAGCAAAACAAGTTGTTGCAATCAGGGGATATTGTTGCCTCCCAGATTTGTTCTTTGTCCTCTCGTTTTCACCATCTATTTGCACCCACTTGTTGATCATCTTTAAGGATGGGGTCTACGTATACGGTAATACGCAACTATCTCACTGTCTCTCTCTGCCTCTACCCTCAATTCCAAAACCAATGCACAGGATTCTAGTGTGAAGTGTATTAACTGTGTATTGGAAGGCAGTCGCGACAGCCAATTTACACTCCGCAATGTCTTACAAAGCAATGTCTTACATAGCAATGAAGTGAATGACCAATTTTTATTTGAGGTCAGAAGGTTGTAGATTCAGGCCCTACATCAGGAGTCCAAGCTCAGAATAGGCTGAAACCCCAAAGCTGTGGAATGCTGCATTATTGGAGGTGCTATCCTTTTTTATGAGATGTTAAAATCGAGATCTCATCTGCCTGTTCAAGTAGGTGTTAAAAATCCCATGGCATTGTTCAAAACGTGTCCTGGCCAACAATTCTCGAGATAAAATTAGTTTGTGGGACACCGCTGAATGCAAATTGGCTGCTGAATTGGTTTATAGATACCGTCACTAGATTTCATAGTAAAATTCTGCGACTTGCTTTGAGATGTTTCAAGGACATGATATGGCACTATTTCAAATGCAAAGATTATTTATTATTGGTCTAATCTTCCATTGAATTTGGATGACTACTTTATGGCTACCTAAGTGAGCAAAATTGCCTTTAAATCCCATAACTGAATATGCCTCAACTGATCTTGGATTACTTTTCTTGTTCAGGTGTACAGGAGAGAAGTGGAAGAGCATGGAATAGTCTTAGATCCTCTCAAAGCAACACATGCAGTTAAAGGTGTTACTGGACATGAAGTCTGCCATTACTTCTGGAATGTTGATGTGCGCAATGATTGGGAAAGTAAGAATACTTAATATTGATTTGAAATAATAGAGTTAATAAATTCTTTAAAACTAATGCTTTTCGAGGTAGACTAGCTGCAGAGATGGATGTGTCCTTTAATTGGTATCAACGCCAAGAACTGAACATGTACCTAATTTATCTAGGATATAATGGGACTAACATATAATGCATGATTGAGAATAGTTACAATTGCCTTTTTATACATCAGAGATTTTAGTTTACTGTTCAATTGATTAATTTATTTCTGAAGTTCCCAAATCTCAAAGTGAGATTTTGTTTTTTACATGCTCACTTATTCTAACTAAAGGCTTGTGTTCATCAGAGTATTTTGTTACATTTGCCCAGTTAATCTATTCCCATATGCATTTTAAACAAATGTCTACGAACCTTTGTGATGCTTGACTAGCATTTTGTAATGAATCTTGTCAAATATCCATCCAAAACTCTGCAATCTGTAGCCTCTCTTGCACCAGGTTCTGCCTTACCCCCTCTCTTCCTATTTTCAAAATGCATTTTAAGACCTATTTTTTCAACCGTACTTTTGGCTGCCTTTCCCCCCCCCCATATCCATCTTTCTCTTCCCTCTCCCCCCACTGCAGCTGTGTGAAGCACTTTGAGACATCCTCTGGAAGTGAAAGGAGCTATCTAAATGTAAATTGTTGTATGTATTTACCCTTAGGATTTTCTCTGACCCTATCTAAGTCTGATGTTTCCTAGTTTCAAATTAATCAATTTTGTTTGTAAGCCCTAGTTGTAAAAAGACCCAAAACATATTATAGTTGATACATGTACAATTTTGAATAAAACAGACCTCTTCAGTCCTTCAAATAAATTTATTTTATAGTGCTTGTGAGTTACATTGGTGTCTAATAAGCTGCAACTTCATAATCAGTGAGTAATAATGACTCCAGCTGACAGGCAGAGGTAGAGTATTATGCTGACCTGCAAGAACTGTCGTTGAGGCAAAAAGATTGCAACGGGATATAGATAGGCTAGGGAAGTGGGTGAGTAGGTGGCAGATGGAATGTAATGTGGGGAAGTGTGAAGTTATTCACCTAGGTAGAAAAAAATAGAAAAACAGATTATTTTCTAGAGGGGGAGAGATTAGATAGCGTTAGTGTTCAGAGGAAGTTAGTTTGCAGGTGCAGCAATCAACTAGGAAGGCGAACGGCATGTTAGCGTTCATTGCAAAAGGTTTAGAGTACAAGAGTAGGGGAGTCTTGCTGCAACTGTATAGGGCCTTGGTGAGACCGCACCTAGAGTCTTGTGTGTAGTTTTGGTCTCCTTATTTAAAAAAGGACATACTTTCCCTAGAGGGAGTGCAACGTAGATTCACTCGGTTAGTTCCTGGGATGAGGGGACTGACCTATGAGGATAGACTGAATAAACTAGGGCTGTATTCTCTAGAGTACAGAAGAATTAGGGGAGATCTTATTGAAACATATAAGATTCTTAAAGGGCTGGATAAAGTAGACACTGAGGGTCTGTTTCCCCTGGTAGGAGAATCTATAACCAGGGTCAAAATTAAGTGGAGTCCTGTAGCTCAGTGGTTAGAGCACTCGCTTTGCAAGCGAGAGACCTGAGTTCAATTCCTGGCAGGGCGAAACCTTGGGCAAGTTTCCTTACTCCACACAGAGCCTAATAATAATCCCTCCAAAAACAATAATTAAATTGGTCATTTTTAATCTATGACTGTTTGTGGGACATTGCTGTGCGCAGTTGACTGCCGCGTTCGCCCACAAATATACAGTCAATTCACTTTACAGTGTGAAGCGCTTTGGGACGTCCTCCCGACGTGAAAAGCGCTATATCAAATGCAAGGATTAAGGGTCAGCCTTTTAGAACAGAGTTCAGGAAACATTTCTTCACTCAGAGGGTAGTGAATTTATGGAATTCACTACCCCAGAAGGCTGTAGATGCTCAGTCCTTGAACATCTTCAAGGCTGAGACTGATAGATTTTTAAAAAATAGAGGGATTAGGGGACATGGGGACAGGGCAGGTAATTAGAGTTAGGTCTGAAGATCAGCCATGATCTTATCAAATGGTGGGGCAGGCTCGAAGGGCTGAATGGCCTACTCCTGCTCCTAATTCTTATGTTCTTAACTCTGTTTCAGAAGTAGATTGGTCTGAGGGGAGCTTGTGATGCGATGCATCTCCCCATTTAATGTACAGTCACTATTTTAGGATTAAGAATCTGCCTGTTTGGACTCTCTTGTGCATTTCTGATGTGTTTGTGTTTTTGCAAGTTTCCTTGGCCCAATCTCGATCTATTTTAGATCCACTTGCCCTTATTTAATTTCAGTTAAACTCATTTAATTAAGTGTTTAGAAATCTTTCTTCCTTCAAATCTACAATTGAATCTACATATTGCTTTTGTACAGCGAATGACATTGAGTTTACCACTTTATATTTCACAGCAACAATTGAAAACTTTCATGTGGTAGAAATTCTGTCAGACAACGCAATCATCGTCTACCAGACACATAAGGTATGTGCCATCCATGTGTTGGTATCATAAAACATTACTAATAGTTCAGTGCATACTTGTACTCTTACCAAAATGTTAAGTAGATTTGTGCTGCAGTTTCATGGTATACTGGCTTGGAGCCACCTAGCAATGAGAAAATGCCATAGCAAACTAGAGGAGAGTAAAGCTTGACCTGTGTTTGTATGACCAATATAACTGGCAGTTAGCTTGAGGAAGAATGTTGTATCATGTTTGTCAATGGGACTTGGAGAGGAGAAAGAAACAGGGATAGAATTCTGCATTATACTCTTATCCAGAGTTGACTAGATCACAAACTCAGTAGACTGAAGAACTGTAAAACTAGGTTATGTAGAGGTGACCTGATGTTTCTTACTGGATTTCTTCTCTCACCCAGAGAGTTTGGCCTGCCTCGCAGAGAGATGTGCTCTATTTGTCTTCAATTCGAAAAGTTCCTGCTACAAATGAGAATGATCCAGATACATGGCTAGTCTGCAATTGCTCTGTGGATCACGACAATGCTCCTGTAAGTGTGGTTAGAAATGTTCTTTACTGTAAGTAATTTGGAATATATTTAATAAAAAACTAATCTGTAAAGCTATTACTACATAATTGTTAAGAATGTAATATTTTTTGCCCAAACTATTACGAAAAACGTGTTCTTTCAAGTATCTGTGGAACAGTGTTCTGTTCTGTATGTTTTGCATTGGTTTATTGGTGTGTAACTTTCAAATGGTCATGTATTTCTTTGTGTTTTAATAGCAGAGCAACAGGTGTGTGCGTGCCAAAATCAACATAGGCATGATCTGTCAGACATTAGTGAGCCCTCCAGAGGGAAACCAGCCCATCAGCAGAGACAATATCCTGTGCAAGATCACATACGTAGCCAATGGTAAGCTTCATGGACAGACAGAATTCAGCAAAATGTTTGTGAAAGGATTGTTTGGGCAATTGCCCAATTAAAGTGCATCACCAATAAATGATGAAATAAGAGTGGGAGAGACTTCAAAAGAACCTGTGAGTAATAGTAGATGTGTGTCTTTCGATATCCAGAACATGTTATGAAGCTACTAGAAAGCTAATTGAATGTTGGGATATATTGTTAGAAGAGAACAAAAGACCCATTGATCTCCTGTTTTTGGTTTGTAAAATGAACTTGTGTCATATTTGTGAATCTTGTGATTGACTTTGTTCTTAACGTCAATTTCTACAATAATTTGCTATTTGTTCTCCTGCAAGTTTTCACAATGTAAACATATTTTTGGTTTGTGTTTAGTCAACCCTGGGGGCTGGGCACCAGCATCGGTACTCCGGGCAGTTGCACGGCGTGAATATCCCAAGTTTCTCAAGCGTTTCACATCATATGTGCAAGAGAAGACTGCAGGCAAAGACATCCTATTCTAGTATCAGCAGGTACTGTCACTACCTTCAACAAACACTCTTGGTACACATTAGAAATATTCCGCCTAGTAAATTAATAAAATTATTCTATGCCCTTGAGAACCAATATTATCAATCAGACAGTCCAAAGTTAAATCTAAAATGTTATTTAATTATCCTCCTGAGTTTGAGGTCCATATTCTATAAATGATTTAAGTGTTCTGCCATTTGTGCAAATAACATATTGACAAAAGTATTTAAATCCATCATTTTTTTTTAGTGTTCAGCACGAATTTTGCTGCTGTTTCTACCAAGTTTTCTCTGGCGATCAACATGAAGCAAAGATGTTATCCTGGACTGAAGGATTATAAATGGAGACTCCTTCAAGTTGGTACATTGAATTCCCAGCGTTTTTCCTCCCTTGCAAAGACCAGTCCCTGGCTCCAGCCTCCACCCAGCTGATACAGGCTGTGTTTTTGTACCTGTGGCTGAACATCCAATGCTGTCTGTACTCTGTTTCCTTTTAGTGCGTCAGTGTGTAATCATCAATACATGCAGCTTGTTAAGCTGTAGAAAACTCGTTTTCACCCAGCACATTTTTTTTACACAAAACAATCACCTTTTGGATCAAAAGGTGTGGGTTGATGGCTTTAATTGTTAAAATGCATGTTTGTTAGTACAATATAGGCCTGCATAAATCATGGCCAAACATTCAAAATGTTTGCAACACGCATCTAGAATTTGTAACCTGTAGAAGTTGCACAAATATTAGCCATCTTTGGGTCGACGATAGAGTGTAATTCTTTTAGATTTTGCTGAAATCTTTTCAATTCTATAGTCGCTGAACTCACCATATTCTTTTATTGGTAATTTCTAAAGCCTCGTTTCTTACACTGATTTCTTGTTTGTAATACGATTTGAGGGCTGTCTGTCTTTTGATCTCTGGCATTTGCCTTTTCCCTTTCTTACCATCTCCAATGAAGACCATGCTCTGATGGAGATTTTGAAAAGCTTTATTTCCATTTTGTTTACAAGCTCTATATTTCTACTGTTTTTTTTAGTTTGTAAATTTGTTACATATTTTGTGTTGTAATTGATAAATCTGAAATCTTTAGGACTGTTGTGGGCTGGCAGGGGATTACTTGAAACATGTCAAAGAGTGATTGTACATGTTGAAATAGATTGGCATTCAAGTCATGACCAGTATAGACATCGTTGAAAGATGATTGTTTTAAAATATTGATCGAAGGATGTGCATTATAGAATTAAGTATAGCATCAGATGAAACCTATTGTGTGTATATATACATATATATATATATATGAAGTGCACTCTTCTCTGAAAGTGCACACATTCCCAGTCATTAATGCAATTGCACAAAATTGGTTATGAATTGAATTAAGTGCTGTTCCTGATGTGATTAGTTGTGTTTCAGGACAAGATGAACATGCTCTTGAAATTTCTTGCTATGTGGAATAGGTGCATCTTCAGAACCTCAGTTCCCATTAGATTATGTGTAGCAAGATGGCTTTTTTCTTCTTGTTGATTGAAGACATTGATACCTATTGCTTTGTTTGTTGTTGTGCTTGGCAGCTGAGTACAATACTGAAGTAAGTTGTACTTGTTTCTGAGAAGTCCTAGAAACCTTCAGTCTTGGAGCTTATACATACATTTCACTAAACATCTCACCAGGGTATAGAGGATGGATAGGTAGAAGGGAGTTTGTAAAACTGTAATCCAAGCAATTATTGCTGCCTTTATCTCCCTTCAGTTTTTAAATGTCTAAAATCTGCCTTCTCTTCCTGTAAGTTGACTTAACTAGAATTTAAAGCTGCTCAGATACTTATTTTGAGTATCAGTAAGAAATCTGACATAAGATATCAATGAAACGAGGAGTCATTTTATTTTTTCAGCTAGAAACCAAGTTATTCACTACTTTGGATGTATTATACCTTTAATGTGCACAACTTTAAATGTAAAAGTGCCTAAAAATGATAGGTTGTGTAATCAGCAGGTTTTCTTGATTCATTCTAGTTGATGTCCATACAAATGTTGGGGTATTGCAAGTTTAGAATTAATTCAGTGTTTNAAAAAATTCTATTGTACCTAAATTTGTCTTATCTGCAGCAAAGATCTCTTATATCTATATTTAGAAGAATTGTTACATGATTAAAGTTCTCAATCGACAGGATTAAAAAGCTGAGTGTCATGTCACTTGACTGAATGCAGAGGTTTTACATTTCAATTAAACCAAAGGACTCACTAAAAAGTTACATTATACTAATACCTGCTGTAAATCACCAATTCTCTCATCTAGATTTATATGGTTCATTTTGGCTTTATTCTTTCCCCCAGGTCAAAGTTAATGCCAGTTAATCAGGATATTCTTTTTATAAAGGACATTTTCTCAGGCTCTAGTTCATTCCAGTACATTTCAATCACTAGAAATTTGTGTTTCATAAAGATGATGTGATTTTCAATAAATATTTTCCACAAAGGATATCTCAATTTACCAGGTGTTGGCATCAGTAGGTCAGACTGCACTGAAAGGAAATGACTGTTTCAAAATAATTTTTCTTTCTTCTTTACCCATTGGTAACTTTGATTTAAAATCTTGTGAATACACTTATTTTGAATTGTCTAACTCTTTCTCTGACTTTGGTAGTTACTAACTTATCTTGCAAAAGTGTACTTTTCCTGTAGCTTTTAATTTTTTCTATAAATTAATTCCACATATTTATAAATGACAAACTTATAAGCCAAATCTTTTGAAATGATAACTAACATCTGGTTTCCCAGTTGGAGCTGCATCAGTCTTGAGGCTGGTTACTTTTGAATGTAATTTAGCTTTGGTTCCTTGCACTCCTTGACACTGATTGCCGTGAAGAATGAATGAGAGTGCACTGGGAGCTGAAGCCGAGTGCTCCATTTCATGTTTCAATGCCCAACCTCAGAGATGGCAATAAGGTTTGAATCTGAGTGGCGAGCTACTCCTTTTAGTATCTCTTTTTTCTATATGTGTGTTTTTTAGGTGTAGGGATGGATGCTTCATGAGACTATTGTAGGATATTAAGCAGTAAATATAATTCAGCTCTATTCTTTAGACTGCTGATATCACTGGTTTCAATCCCAGTGTAATCCTGTAACAGAATGTGGGGTGTGGGTATGAATTGGGAATCAGTTATTACCTTGTGAGGGAAACATATTCTACCTGCCCTGTTCTACATTAAAATTTCTCAACTGGAAAATACTGGTATTTTGAAATTATAAAAGGAATTTAGCTTTTGCACTTGAAGGAAGGATGCAAGTAGCCATGTTTCTCTGGGGGAGATTAATGTAAAATGAGATAAAAATGAACTATTGTATACTGGATTCAAACCAAACACAAGATTTGAGTGGTTTACAGAAGCATTATTGTATATTGATTTACTGTTGATAAATATTTGTTTAGAAACCTTTGCATTCAATACCCAGATGTTTTGTGCATAGCAATCTAAGGGAACTGGAGAAGGACAAATCATTTTTGATTTAATACCTGAAAATCTGTGTACTTGTCTACCATATTAATGGAAACATTACGTGAAGGCCCAGGCTAGAATCCGCTGCTGGTTTGAATTAAGCTAATTACTTAATTAAAACAAATTTTGGGACGTTTACAGTGTATAGAATTTGATATTGTCATTCTCAATTGCACTAAATGTGATGTAATTTTGAAATTATTCTGGTATGAAGCAATTACGTGAAAGAGGCAGTTGTAAAGTATTGAAACTTCTCTGGAATGTAAAAACATTGTCATTTAGCATCTGATGGTTGAAATATAAACTTTTATCTTAAAATATCCTGAGTATGGTAAAAGATTTGTTTTATGAAAGCTTTATATCCTGGTTTAGCTTTGTGTACAGCAAAACACTGGTTAATATGTCTGTGATGTTGGACTGTAAAACAGTTTTTCCAATCAACAATGTGTAAAGATCAGTTTATAAAGAGTTTGGTTCCTCCATGTTATCACAAAGTAAAATCCAGTATTTAAACAGTGAAAAGTATTAAAACATTATAGAAGAGTGTTTTGTCATTTCTTTGAAGGTAGGTAATGATCAGTAAAACTGACACTTTTTCTATTAGACTTCTCAATCCTCTGTCTTCACTACTTGCTTCAGGAAAAAAATGTTTTCTGACGTGTGTTCAGCAGACCACAAAAAACAATGTGAAATATAAACTAGTTAGGTCCACATTCTAACCTGCTGGAAGATAATTGTTCTCCAACATAAGTATAGTTTTTATAAATGATTTTTCCTGTGAAATTATTTAGTAACAAATAAATTTATATTGGTGCTTTGTGAGACAAGGCTGACTTTTGTGCTAGAGAGAATGTGTTAAAAGTTCACAGCTCAAAAAATTACTACCTTCACATAGTCCCAGTGTGTTAGCAGTAAGTTTGGTCTCAGATATCCAGGAGCTTCTGCTTTCCTAGCCCACAGAAAATTCAGATTTGGGATTTCATTTCCACAAAGGTTTGATTTCTCAACCTGAGAGAACTAAAAGGTGCTGATTGCAGATAATTCAAGCAAGAAACTCAAAACTTGTTACTAGAAGAGTTAAAAGGGAAGTTATTGTTTTGTGCAGAGGGTAAAATACAATGTGGGAGGAAAGGAAGTGTATCACCTAAAGTTGTGCCAAAATATGTTTTGAAATGGAGCTGGAAGTCAAACAGTTATGTATTGCCTTACTCCATTTGGGAAGGTTGAGAGAGCCTGTGTTGAGATGGCTTTGATCTCTTAATGAAGTGTGAAAACCTTGGGTGTATTACCATGCAGATTTATTCATCTGCCTTTTCCTAGTTGGTCTACATTTAGTCTGCCCTGGTTTACCTTCAGTCTCTTGTGGAAGATGCTTCATTAAACATTTAGCTTTATTGGATGTCACCTTATCTTCAAATATTCCTGAGGACATCTTGCAATATCCACGTTAGTGCCCTGCCAATCATTTGGATGTATCCACTGAACGTAAGTAATAGCAAAGAAATGTGAACCTTGACATACATTTTAGAATGTGGGTAGACTGTTGGGAACTTGCTCCAAAGTTGCTCAAACTGAAAAACATTTCCTGAAGGGAAAGATCAGTAATCCCATTCTGGTTTATCGTGTCCCAGACAGATGATCTCTGCTCTTTGCTTTATTATCTTCTCAATTCCTACAGTAGCTGATAAAGGTGAGACTGCTTAAATCATTGGTAAATGTTCACATAACAGGATTGAGGATTAGGAGAATAAACTCTGAGACATAACACTTGATATCATTGCCATTTACGGAATGCAACTAGAAAAAAAATCAGTTCCCAATTAATTCTAGCTTGTACTGGTAGGGCCACTTTTAAAAGTGCAGTTTTGGGACCAGTACTTGATTCGGAGTCCTGTAGCTCAGTGGTTAGAGCACTTGCTTTGCAAGCAAGACACCTGGGTTCAATTCCAGGCAGGGCGAAACCTTGGGCAAGTTTCCTTACTCCACACAGAGCCTAATAATAATCCCTCCAAAAACCCAAAACAATAATAAATTGGTCATTTTCAATCTACGACTGTTTGTGGGACATTGCTGTGCGCAATTGGCTGCCGCGTTCGCCCACAAATATACAGTCAATTCACTTTACAGTATATTCTGTGAAGCGCTTTGGGACGTCCTCCCGACGTGAAAAGCGCTATATCAAATGCAAGGATTATTATTATTATTATTGGATAGCTGGCAAGAGTTCGTCCAATGCAACAAGGAAGTCTGAATATTACATTTTTCCCCAGACTCAAAGCGGTTACTACAGGATCAACACCTTGCAATATCATACAATACAAAATTACATTTGTACATCACCTTTCACATTGGGAGGATGTCCCAAGGCTTTGGACAGTCAGGGATTTAGACCAGAGTTGGGGATTGGGGCTGAAGGCTCGATTGAAGAGGGTTTGGAGACGAGCCTTGAAGGAATAGGTGTCTCCTTGAGGTTATAATATAGCACCTTATCAGGTCTTTTGAGATGTCTCAAAGCGCTTTACAGAATATACTGTAAAGTGAATTGACTATTTTGTGGGTGATACACGGACAAGGTAAATTGGATGAAACACCTGGCCCAGATTCATTTGTATTCCTACCCATTTTAAATATGCCAGTTAATTCAGATGAAAACCCGGTTAATCCGGGCTAAATGCCAATGCTGGTCACTGCTGAATGTACTCACACCTTGTGTCACGAGTGGCTTCAGGATGGAGATGGGAGTCACATTGTGATTCTTAAGCAGCTGTGGGAGGGCAGTGACTGCATCTGATGGATGGGGAGGAGACCAATTAGCAGCAGCTCTGAGGTCATTGACACCTCTGAGCTGCTGCTAATCAGTCCCCTTCCTGTCCAATGGCAGGAAAAAGAAAAACTTTTACTGGACGCCGGGTAAATCGGACAAAACTCCCTGCCCCGATGTGTCCGGCTAAAGCACATTCCACTGTAGTTTACAAAAAGGGTTTGTTTAGAGGAGAGATTAGAAATGGAATATTCTGGCATTGAATTTCTACATAAAAACAAATGTCAGTTCACTTGTAATTTTTACATTTATCACTTTTGAATTGTCTACTGTATGTAATTTATTTTTACATTTACTCTCATAGTAGAAGTCATGTTCTGCAATAGCCTAGACTTCAATGTGATTTTCCATTGCCAATAGATCTGAACACAGGGCAAAGAAAGGAAGAATCCTGCACCCCATTACTTCACACCATACTCTTACAGGAAGAGAACATAAATTAGACATCTTGTCAATAAACCTGAATAACTGACTGACATCCAATATACAGAACATTTACAGAAAATAACTTTTCATATGATTTATTGAAAATGGGAAAACACCAACTATTTACAAAAATGTACAGATGACATTATAAATCAGCATTTGCTTCAAGACTGGGTTTGCTTCCAATCAGCTTTTCATTAGCTTAAAACCAGTGTTGTCTAGGATTGAAATACAACCCATCAGAGTAATTTAATATACTTAGTTTTAAAATATAAACATTTTCCATCAGGAATCTTAATATTTAGTATTCCCAATAGGTGGCAATGCAAACTTTAGCTCACTGAAGCCACATAACAGTTCAACACAACAGATATTCAAATTACAGTAAATAAAATGGGTATTCATCCAAGAGTACTTTTTTGCTGTTCCACATTAAAAATGCAGCTGTTTTGAGCTTGTTCCTACAACTGGAATCTTGCTTCCAAGACCAGCATTAATCCTTATTGATTTGACTGACTAGGGTTTGTGAGCAGCTTACATGTTGTACATGAAATTGACTGTCATTTATAAAGCGCTCCAGTTAAAGAGTTACTGGAGTTGGAAATGATCAACTGTTATAAAGTACTTCAGACTGGAACAGTTCACTGCACAGTATTCCAGGTAAAAGCATTACTGAAAACTGAACACATTGCAACTATAGTATAACAAGCAAATCTGAGTGTCAATCTGATGAGAGCTGTGTTTCCTGGTCATACTTTTGGAATTAGAACTAAATTGCTTAACAGCTTTCAAAATTACTCAAATAATTTTAGGAATTTTAAGTTAAAATATTCAAAAGGTTTACATTGAAATGGTTTGTGCTTGACTGCCTTCGGGAGCAAAGAAAAAAATAAGCATGTTAATATGTAGCAATTGAAGCTGAGCAGACATTGTGGAAAGAATTGACCAAGATGACCCAACTTCCTGATCTGAAGCATGCTGCACTGGAAGGAAAAATACAACAGCATTAATTCCTCACTGGGCCATAGTTCTACGGCCCCAGTTCTAGGCAGATTGCCAAAGAGGGTGGTCAGGAAACAGATCTCCTTAGGAATAGGAGTGTCAATCTCACCATTGTAAGGTGGACAAAGGTACTTCCCTTTCCCACAGAATGCACTTTTTTTGATTTAAAGAAAATTGGACCTCAAAGCAAATACAGTATGAGCAACTAAATTATGATTTTGTTTATCAAAGGGGGTTCTACTGTATTCTGATTTGTAAAAGATGTATTAAACACTACAATAGCAAGTCCTATAACAATAGATTCATAAGGTCCAAATTCAAAGTAAAGTTTTCTCTTAGCACTTAAATTTGAATTAAGTCTATACACAAGTGATCTCAGACAATGTCCTGGGGTGTCTGCTTTAGATGGAGTGCTTCATACAGTAGTACCATTAGAATTAAAGAAAGGCAGTGGAGTTCAAAAAATGAATACTCAATTATGGATGAATGTACAATGTTTATAGAGGATGAGGGGAACATTCAGTAATGTCACATTGAAAAATCTGAAGAGGACACAACAGCATTAAGCAGCGTGCTTAGTTAAAGCACTTGGCACCACTGTTACTGTGCACTACAGAGGCTGGGAATCATTAAGCACATCTAAATCAGTTATTGTGAGAATCATTTTTTCCAATATAGTTCTGCATTCCAACTCCACAACCACACCCCACCCCCCGGCTTTGGCCAGGAGCTAGTGAACAAATACTAGTTTTATAAAGATAAGTCAGAACTTGCAAGATACAGCTGTATCATACTGAGAAAAAGTGTCTAGTTCAGCCTGTTCACATTCAAAGAATTGTTATCTTTCACACCGACCATGTTTGAAAACTGCAACTTGATTCAACAAAAGCAATCAGTAACTTCTGAACAAATAGACGGGAAGGATGGGGGTAGGAGTAGAGGAGAAAGGGAAGAGGCAAAGAGAAAGAGGTAAGAAATATGTATATTCCGACATGCATCTGCCACTTGACTTAGCCACTCTGAAGAATTAAACCTTATGTAGTGAATATGGTACTGTGCACTTTTAATATTTTGCTTTTGTCTTATTTGTAAGAACATTGCAGCAAATTTCATCAAGACAATGTAATGTTAACTATTACATAACACAGAAGACAACGAAAGTAGCTGCAGGCAGATGGGTTGTGCTGTTCATTGGATCAGGTCAATATCCCCCCTAAAAACAATTCTGTTGTCAAAGAGAATGGTTAATCAAGTTTTCAAGCCCAACTTTTTTTTACAAAACAAATACAACTTCCAAGTTCAGTGGAAACTTATTTACTGCAATTAAAGCATTAGAAATCCCTCTGCCAAGGCCTTGAGTATAAAGCAGGGATAGCAATAAATCCTCTTTCGGCAACAAAATAGTTTGTGGAGTTTTCATTAAAAAAATAGTTACCGACAGTCCCATATTTTACTGCATTCATTTAACAATACGATTAGATATTGCTATCCTCGCTTAGGCAGTAATCTTTGTGCAGTTACATGCAATCTTTATTGTCACAGGTACCCCGGCTGAACCAAGCAGCGACTATTGTCCTCTCCCAAAAAACTAACGATGAACACCACCAAAATGTTCCTTTTTAATTCACAGGAAAGATCCAAACATTTCTCTACAATGGTGATTTCCAGTCTTTACAGTGAAACCCTTCATGAATTGCCACATCCAACAGCTATCAAGCTGCCTTCTTGGTACAGGTACCCGGGAGCTCCTGCAGATTGATTTTTGACCTGCAGAAACCAAAACATACTGATCAATAAGTTAAAGGATTTGTGAGAACATAATCCTTTCAATACTTATATAACATTAGAATTATATAGCCTCTTTCACGTTGGGAAGATGCCCTGAAGCAGTCACTATATTAGCTAAGCATCCAGGTTGGGTATAAGATCAAAAGGTCATTTTGTACATGCTGTACATTTGAAGCGAGTCAGACACATTGATTATAAATTACAGAGTTTGAATAGCTAACATCTAGTTATTAGTGCGAACAAGTTAATTTAAAACCATTACTGCCATTTTATTTATTTTTAATACCAATGCATCAACCTCCTCAAAAGCTTAACTAAGCAAGTGAGACACAGTACAATGGTGAACCACACAGACCCCAGGTCAAGCCCAGATTTGTTCATTTAAGTTGGGGCAGTGAGCTGATACAATTAGTCTATTGGACTGGGTTGGTGGATAAGAAAGGAAACTGGAGAGCAACCCAGACTATTGCAGACAGCTGCAGAGGTCAGAATATCCCTCTCCTTATTGCCCCCTAGAAACACACAAGGTTAGTGTTCATCTGTGGAACATCCAGCTGATGGAGGGAAAAGTCCTAATGAATCATTGTTTATCTCTACTATTTAGTCACGAGGTTTAATATATGTTGCTGTGCAACAGATTGTCCTTTAACTCAAATTCAGTAGTTGATCATCTACAATTGCACACAAACAATTACCTGTTATGAGTCATGTGACTCTTCACAAGATGGCCGGCTGCTAGTGCTGCCATGAGAGACAGTTCTCCTGCCATTACTGTGGCACAAACAATCTCTGCCAATTGACATGCATTTTCACCAGGATTTGATTTACTTGCCCCCTGAACACCAAGCATCTACCAAAAAAAGAACAGGAATGTTACACAGTCTGGGCCCATAACATGACCAATACCCTCCAATTGAAGAATACCTGACCTATAACATTATATGGTCTCCAACATTCTCCACAAGAAAATGGGTCTTTAGTATACATTACAATTAAATATTGGTCCATATTGAATATTGCTGTATGCAGGGCTTTTGCACTAAACCCTCAGAATTGGACACTTAATTGTAACAACTCAAGTTTTGTGCTCGAATGACAAACCCCTCAAACATTTGTATTCGTAATTTCAAGTGCTGCATTTTAGTTCTTGCCATAGAGTATTTACGTATCTTTAAGTATTTACTGCCTCAAAAGCAAATAAATTCAATTTATAATCATTTTGTTGCATGTACTTACACTTTAGTGTTAAACCACCGTGCTGACTAGAAATTTGCTTTCATGTTATACGTTAGAACTATTGTGAAAACATTAGAAACTTTTAAATTGTTAAGTAAATATAATTAAGTTTATTCTCCCTCAAGCAAAATAAAATTACATATGCTATAAAGTTCTTCAAAGGAATTAAATTCTACCAAAGTAAAAAATGGCACATTTCTATTTGATTTTTGCTTATTCCAGAAATAAAGATTTTTTAAAAAAATTGGTGGATAAGCCATGTATAACACCATTCCATAGTGATCAGAATAAATGTTATTGTTTGGATCCTCACCTTGAGACAGGCTTGCTGTGGTAGTAAGTTAGTACCTCCGCCAACAGTACCAATCTCTATGGATGGCATAGTACAACTGATATACAAATCCTCATTAGTAATGCCAGTTGATTCCATTAAGGTGATACAGTTTGAACTACTAACGTTCTGAGCTGGATCCTGAAACAAACATTGAATTCAGAAAGCATTAAATATAAACTATTCAAATGGACATTGCTAAGTGCAATTACAGCAATTAAAATTTAATAATCTTAATGGAGAATTAAACTTTCATGATTTAAGACATTTTCTCAGTCAGAAAAATCTTCACTATTTTCCTGTGATGCATTTTTTGAATAGGACATGTGTAATAAAGTCCATTGTGCTCTCTAAACAACCAGAGATGACATTCCTGATTGGCAGTTAGAGCAGTGTTGTCCAAAGGAAATCACTGACTAACCGCAGTCATACACTCACATTAAACAGGTAAATGTACTTCACAAGTATGATAGCATGTATATTTACTTAACAAACATCCAACACCATTTTATTTTTCTCCTAAGATCCGCCAGACCCGCACTGCTCTCCATCCAGAACAAGTGCTCTTGTACCTACCTGCCCACACGCAATGTAGACAGCAGTAACAATATTAGCAGCATGTGCGTTGTAGCCACCAAGGCTTCCAGCCATAGCTGAGCCCACCAAGTTTTTGCTGACGTTCACGTCTACAAGAGACGCGGTAGAAGTTTTTAAGATCTAAAGAAAAACAAATCAATTTAAATATTAATCCCATATAATGACCTGAAAACAAAGATATTGAAAGGCTAAGTCAATGAAACATTAATAGCTAAGGCAGACATACCTCTCGCACAACTTTAGCTGGAATGATTCCTTCACATACAACAGACTTTCCCCTTCCCTCAATCCAATTAATAGCAGCAGATTTCTTGTCAGTGCAATAGTTGCCACTAACCGCAAGGACATGGACTAATGGAAACTCCTCCACTAACCTGATGAGAGCATTCTCTGTGCCCTAAGAGAGGGAGAAGAAAAATGTAATACAATATAATGTGATATAATATATACACCTGTACATATAATCCTTGCATTTGATATAGCACTTTTCATGTCTTCTAGATGTCTCAAAGCGCTTCATAGAATATACTGGAAAGTGAATTGACTGTATATTTTGAGCGAAACGCAGCAGCCAATTGCACACAGCAGTGTCCTACAAACAGTTGTGGATTGGATTTTATTTTCTTGAGGGATTATTATCAGACGTGTGGAGTAAGAAACTTGCCCAAGGGGGGGAGAAAATAACATTTTTGCTGTGCCCAGTGTGCAGCTCTCTTGCCAATACTGTAGCACAAAATCCATGCCAGAGCCAACATTTTCACCAAGATTCACATGTCACATAACTAGTGTCCCAAGACATTTTATACCATGAAAAACGTTACATTAATATAAGTTATGGTCTTCCTCATTCTTAACATCATAGAACAGTGCAGATAAAATATGAACTACATCTGTGTTTACTATAGCCAACCATTTATCATCAGAAATAACCTACTTTTGAAATCATATTCATGCCCATGGCATCTCCAGACCTGGACTGAAATCGGATATAAAGGTTACGTCCAGCAAGTCCAATCTGCAGCTTCTGTAGCCGGGCAAATCTGGATGGGGGACGGATGGACAGGGAATAAAGTACTTGATTTTATATATAGCAAATTAAGACTAGTTCATCACTGAATGCACAGTTCTGATTTATCTCCACTACAGTCTAACTCAACTGGACAAGTTGCCAGTTTGTAGATTTCATTAGCTCTTGGCCTGGCTGCAAAATAAAACTAACAGAAGGAGATCTGTTTAGACTCTTTCAAAAGACTATAACATGGTGACCAAAAAGTCGTGATACCATTACAATGTCTGCAGCTCTAGATCACTACCAAGAGTGTCCTTGCTTATTTGTTAAAAGGTGAAAAAAAAAACTCACCTGCTAGTGCTATCAAACCTCTCCTTCATAATCTGGAAGCCTTCAGCACTCTCCAGCCAGGCCTTCACCTCTGCAGCTTGACATGCAGTGGGTAACCTCACCACAGGTCCTCTTGTCATTCCATCTGCCAGGATTCGACTCTGTGCTCCACCACCAAGCTTCAATTCAAAGTTAACAATACACACCCATTATTACAAAGTACTAAACAGTGTGACATCTGACCTTCTGAACCTCACGTTATTATTCTATTTCATAAACTAAAGTTTCAAAGCTAGATACTTACACATATGGCTCTGCAACCTCGGTTGGTGCTTGCCACAAGACAGCCTTCAGTGGTTGCCATGGGGACCTGAAACTCCTTCCCATTAAGATGAAGTGGTCCAGCAACTCCCACAGGAATAGGCATGTAGCCAATGATGTTTTCACAGCACGTTCCCATAACCTAATCGTTAAAATTAAAAGACCATGTAAAATCTTCCAACTGATCTCATATTTGCCAATTGTATTAATATNAAAAAGTATTTACATAATAACATTTGGTATATAGGGCCTTTCAGTTCAGTAAGACATCACAAAGCACTTATATACTGTAAAATGCAGTGACTGTTTTAATGGGTGAACAATTACTATTAATAATAATCCTTGCATTTGATATAACGCTTTTCACGTCTTCTAGACGTATCAAAGCACTTCACAAATTATACTGTAAAGTGAATTGACTGTATATTTGTGGGCAAAACGCAGCAGCCAATTGCACACAGCAGCGTCCCACAAACAGTCATGGATTGAAGTGACCAATTTTATTATTGTTCTTTTTTCTTGAGGGATTGTTACAGGCGTGTGGAGTAAGAAAACTTGCCTAAGGTTTCACCCCTGCCTGGAATCGAACCCTTGCGAAGCGAGGGCTCTAACCACTGAGCTACAGGACTCCACAATTAGCACTTAGTTAAACAATTATTATTTAGCACTTAATATTAACAAAAAGCCATTAGAGTAGCAAACTGATACTTCTTGATTCTCTGAGGTCCTGATCTCAACTGCTATAAGAAGAGAAAATATCTTCAAGGAAGACATTCAGCATTCCACTTAGCTGGAGGCAATCAAGGGGCCAGGAGAAAAAAATATACAGGACATCAGTAATCTTAATGTATTCAACCTCACAAGAGTCTATGAAGAAAAATCATTTGTTCCTTTTGATCTCCTTCTTCCATCCAGACAGTTGCCAGTAAACAGGATGTCTCTCCCAGGGTAGAGAGTATGATTCCATGCCAAACACAGACATTTCCATGTGCTGTTGGCATACATGGAACTCAATCTGGTTGTGATACTTTTAAAGATGGTGGTGTGTTTCCATGTGTGTCAAGTCCCTCTATTGGCCAAAACAATTCCTTAACTAATGTGAATCTCAGGAGAAAGGATAACTAAAACAAACCCACTTATACTCTAAAGTTCGTAAATCTAGTCAAGGCCAGCTCAAAATACAAATGAGAATTTTGAGTTTCAAAACAAGCCACAATTACATTACAAATCATTTATATATCCATTCACTATGGAGATAATGCATTTCTTTCTTCCTTCTACACTTTTTAAATAAAAAAAATTATTGATGTACTTACGAGTGAGTAATCATAATCCCCATAGGGAAGACACTGCAGTGCAAAGGGATCGGGAAGTTTTGGAGCCAGCATCTGTCTACGAATGAACACACCACGTTCTGGAGTTTCCATCATATTCTCAAGTTTGTAAGCTGGAATGTGTTTGGCATTTACAAGACGAATTACTTCATCATCAGTCAGGAATTTTGCTCCTTTCTATAGGAAAAAAAACATCCTTACTTGGTAATTCATAAACTTAGATCTAAATAATCTAAGGAACTGGTAACTAAGGAAGCTAGTGGATATTGAATTGATTGGATTAGTTCTAAATCAAACATCTGTATTAAACATCATTCCTTTCTCAATTGAAATATGTAGGCCAGTTAAAAGGGGATTTTATTCAATCACCAATGATCAGAAATATCTCAAGTAATTATGTAACTTAAATTCAAGTGCAGTTCATATTGCCAATATATACACGTCTTCATCATTCTTTAGCAAGTGTAAACAACTGCTTTGCTCAATATGAAATTACCTGGTACTCCCATTCCTGGACTTGTATATCTCAATCAACAATAATTGGTAACTAAGGAAACTAGGGGATATTCAATGGATTGATTAGCCCTAAATCAAACATCTGTATTAAACATCATTCCTTTCTCAACAGATGAAATTGAAGATGAAGCAGTATAATGTAAATGTGAAGTTCGATGGATTATTTAGATACAACATATTTCAAATTTTTTGTGGAGATTCCAAAATATTAGACTGACAAAAACATGGATCTTTTACCTCAGGATTTTTGAATATGGACAAGCACTCCACAACTGGACGTGGGTCTAGTGGAAACTCAATGTCTAATTCTTCTGGTGTTCCTGAAGATTGGGAGTCAGGAGGAGTGTTGTCACCCAACACAAACAACGCTTTTGATTTATGATCGACCAATTTAGTTACAAAAGACTCAATGGGCTTAATGACTGCATCTGCAACAAAAGATAATTGTATTTATTCATTATAACAAAATGCAATATCACGCACCTCTTCCTTCCCAAACATATTATAAAAATTTGCAAGACTGGATGAATGCAACTAATGACTGAATGGTTCCTTTTTGCAGGAATACACATTAAAAAGTAGCTTTATTGCATCAATAACAGAATTCTATATGCACTGTTCCTTGAACAAGCACAATCTTGATGATTTGCAAGCAAATAGTTATGTGAGAAACTGGACCATTAAACATAACTATTAAATTCAGAAAATAATGCAATGGAGGGTATAGAATATTTCATTTTTTATCCACCAGTGTATAAAGTGCTCCAAGGGTAGGTATGCCACAAGCCACATACAGCAGAACCACCCCCTCCCCCCAACCAGGTGGGTTTGCTTATAACACCAGCTCACATACTCGATGGGCTCATGGTTTCTAGGGACCCTAAAGTTGGTGCTAAGTGAGGTTGGTATCAGGAAAAATGTGCTTTGCATGTGGACCAGCTGGCTTCCCACATGCTGAAAAATGTCCAACCTCCAGGACGTTATGTCACCACTATCCTTTGCGTCATGCATGTGCAATATGTGCTGGACGTTTCCAGTGCATGCGCAGTGTGCAGGAAATTACATCAGTGGTGAACTGATGAGCCACAAGTCAGGCAATTTATAGCTTGGGAAGTCAGACTCCTTTCTGCCTGCATACACAATGCACTGACTGGGGTCACTTTTCATATTGCCTCCATTATATGGTATTTTATGGACTCCATATTTATGCGTTTACAATAAAGTTCTATAAATTTTCTGACATTTTTCCTGAATACCAACCTCACTTATCACCAACTTTAGGGTCCCTAGAAACTGCCAATTTAACAGATATGAGCAGTTTGGGCCCGTCTGATCTGAATTAACACCCACATCCAAGAAATTTGAATGAATGTTCTAATTCTGATAGACCAGTAAGGTCATATTTTAAGTTATGACCTTAATTGCTGAGATCTACTGTGGGAACATAAGAAACATCTGAAAAATGTACCAGTTTCCTCTTTACTGGCTGGTTCTGTGTTGTTTTGAGATTTTGGTTGCAATCTGGCTATTTCAACATTATTCCGACAGCAATTATCTGGGCTCTTTTTCTGCATCACCAAAGGAGATGTAATCGGATTCTTCAGTGAGAGAGTGGACTCATTCTCGGTCTGTTCGAAGAAGATGTATTTGATAGCAAGTAAGAGTGCGAGGCCGAGAGTGATCACCTGCTCCACATCCATGCTAATCATTCTGTGTAGGGGGAAAAAAGCCATTTAAACAAATGCTGCAAAACATTTTACAACTACAGTCAACAATTTACAAGTATTGAGAACATTTGCTTACTTTTAGATTTTGAACCATTTTCCATGTGCTAAGAACCAATGAAGGGTCAAAATACATACTTTACATATAGGAAAATATTGTATCCCACACAATAGCAGATCTCCATAAATAACACAAAGCTTACAAATATGGGCTAATATATTTTCAAAGTAAAGTTCAGAGGCAAAACTACCTACTGGAAACATTTGTGTTTGAGGAATGATATTAAAAATAACTAGTATTTTTCCAGCTATTAAAACAGCTTGCCTCCTTTTCTCCAATCAAAACCCTGTGGCCATGCCATTACTACAGAAGTTGGATGAGGCTTGGTAGGTTGCAGAACAAACCATTAAACCACTCAGCAAACTTCTACATGAAAGTATATTTTAGCCCACAATAATAATAATCCTTGCATTTGATATCATCACGTCTTCTAGACGTCTCAAAGCGCTTCACAGAATATACTGTAAAGTGAATTGACCTACAAACAGTTGTAGATCAAGTGACCAAATTATTTTATTTTTTAAATATTTAATTAATTTATTTAAATAAATTAGGGCCCCTAGAAACTGCCTATTTAATAACATGTTTTGAGTAGTTATGGCCTGTCTGATCTGAATTAAAGACCACATCCAAGAAATTGGATGGAAGGAAACATATCCAACGTTTCGCCCTACCTGGGAATCAATGTAATGCAACACCTCCGCACTATGAACTTAATTACCTAGAGAGGTAGAAGTGCCACAGGGGTACATCTGGATCAATTCGTTTTGGCATGCTTTCATCCAATCCTGTTCCAGATTTAGGCATTTCTAGACCATTATCCTGTGAAGATGGCTCTGCTATCCAGCGGCTATGAGCATGAACCAGAACTAATCCTAGAGACTGGGGACAAAGAAATATTGCATTATGTACAATGTATTGAGCTGTCCACAGCGCAGGCAAATAGTTTACAATGCAACTAGCACAAAAAGATAAGCCGTAATTGCTTAACCTCATAATGGGGTATATCAAAATATACAGACAACTGCAATATTACTTTGGTCCACTCTTTTGGGAAAATGTGAGTTCACATATCCAAATCATAGAAGCAGATTTCTAAATATCTGACAAGCTAAGTTGTTTGAGTGGAAGGTAACTCTCAGTGCAAAAAGATGCCAAGCGACAAAATGTTAACCAGGCTACAGAAAGTTGCACTTTCATACTAACCATGATAATTTTCACTCTCTGTGTCACAGGATTTGGCTTATTGTCTTCTTCTTCCTCCAAGACTCGTGCAAATTGGCCAAGCTGCCAAATTGGTCGACCCTCACGACTTTCCCGGGAGAGCTGAGGAACAAGATTAGTATTTAGTGGTTCTAAAAGACCAGATATTGACCACTTATTATTATGGACCTCACTTGTAAATTAAAAAAGAATTTAATCAAGACACCAGCAGGTGGAATAAAATGTGCTGGATGACTGAATGATCATCTGACAATGTTTAGAAGAATTACCATGAACAAAGTTGAGAACAATTTATAAATATAATATGCATTTAATACAGTGCCTTTCACATCAAGAGAACACCTCAAAGTGCTTCACAGGATTTACTGTAAAGTGTAATCATTAATGTGTAAGTGGCAGCCAATTTGCACACCGAAATGTCCCACAAACCAAGTTTATTTGTGGGGTTCTGGCCAAGAGCCTGGGAGAAACTCTGTTGTCTTTTCAAATAGTGCCATAGGAACTTTAACATACACCTGAACAGTCAGACAAGATCTCAATTAGCGTCAAGTTCAAAGGAAGAAACCTCTAGCGCTGCCTCAGGACCGCAGTGGAGTGTCAGCCTAGACTGAGTTCAAAGTCAGAACTCATCACCAGAACTCCAAGGATTAAAACACTTTTACAATTAATTTTATTCCTTTTTGGATCCTCTTTGTGTGAAGGAGAGTGTTGCTTAAGCTAACCTCTTCTTACATGAGGTGCATAACAATTGGCTGCCTCATTTCGTCCACAAAATATACAGTCAATTCAATTTACAGTATCTTCTGGGAAGACATCTCAAATGCAAGTATTATTATTATTATTATTGGGAAATTCTAACGTCAAAGCATAATAGTGAAACATTATTAGAGTTTTAAGAACATTATAATTCGGGCTTCCGATTTTCAGTTTTAACCAAAAAAAATTTTTTTAATATTGAACCCAACACAAAAAAACATGAAATTGGTGCTTATTCAAATGGCTACCTGCCCTGACACCAACTGCACATATATTACTCTCTTTCTCTCCATCTCCCCTCCGTGTGCACAGGTACATCTGGTAACGCACGTGAGAGGAAGGAGGCACTGTACATGCATGAAGGTTGCATGTTTCCCCTCCATGTGCGCAGGCACGTCTGAATCTTCTCATTACAAGAGAAAGCCCCCCCTACCCCGATTTTTTAGAACTCCAAACCCCTTAAAGAAGAAGCCCCAATTATAAGCTTTTTTCCAAAGTTGTGCCCTCACACCAAATTGGCAATGTTGATAAGAGTTACTAGGAAAGTAGATCAGTAATTAGTCCCCAGAATAAAACGCAATCGGAAAACAGATTTCCCTTAATGTAAATTGACAAATACATAATAAAATAATAATCCCTGTATTATTGTAGTGTCTTATCACATTATCAAAACATCTCAAACACATAAAAAGGCTTCAATATAGCAGAACAGAAAATGTTTATACAAATTTCATGCTTACCTCCAATATCAGTGAGACACAAGCTGGGAAGAACGTCATGAAAACAAAGTAGTTGGCTAAAACAGACATACAGCCAAAACAGCACATTATTTCCAACTGTCGGACCCCTGATGGAAAAACAGATTAACAATTACCCCTCTGATTTGTTTTTGCTAAGTGTTTTCCTCCTCTTTTGTGCACACTCTCTGGATAAGACTTGATTGTACTTTGTAAATCTGCTGCTAAGTGTGAAGCAATTACCAAGCATTCTTCTGTAGAGAAGCACCTGACATGGGGCTACGCCACAATCTGATGCATGTGTTCTAACCTGCACCTTACCACTCAATGGTATACCTCACTTACTTCTTCATCTACCTTTGAAAACAGCACCACTGCCCCAAAATGTTTATGTTAACTGAGATTATAAATTTTCTGCAATTTACCTGACATAGTTCCAACACCTATCACAAGACATTCCACAAGAGCATCAAGAGTGAAGGTAGGGCCCAAGATTGCCATTCCACGTGCAATATTTTCTCTTACTTCATCCTAAAAAAAAACTATGTTTTAGAATTGAAAGTTTATAACAAAGAACTTTTGCATATCTCAATAACGTTCAAATGCCATGGTAAAAGAGCACATTTGATTTAAACTATTTAATGGAAACAGGGCTATAAATATTTTAATCGTTTGAGTGAAACATTAAACACCATGAGCAGGAGTCATCATTATATGCCATGTCATTTCCCACTGGTTCCAATTAGTAGGCAAATCTCAAGAGAACTTTACAGTCAGATGACAAAATCATAATATGGCCAAAACAAAACACATTACTCATTCTAAAACAAGATTTTCCTAAGGGTATAATTAAATGTACGCCAACACAAGTGGAACAAGGGTAGTTTTGTTTACTGTGCTATTCTGGCTGGAAAATTGAAAAATGTTTGCCTTCACCTTTACATACCTGCCCTAGTGTACAAAGAGGCCCTTAACCTTTGGGCATAGAATTCTAGATTAATTGTTGCCTTCAGGGAAATAGCTTCCGACCTCCAATCTTACTGTACTAGTTAATTATAATGCTTGCATTTGGTATTGTGCCTAGGTCATTGAGATGTCTCAAAGTCTTTCAAAGGATTTACTATAAAGTGTAATGACTGTATTTGTACACAAACGTGGCAGTTAATTTGTGCATAGCAATGTTATACAAACAAACATCAAGTCAATAATTTTATCCAGGATAAAATATGTCTGGGACACTGGGAGAAAGTCCTTTCTCTTTTCAAATGATGCTACGAGATCTTTAACGTCCACCTGAACAAGCTCCTGAGGCTTGAATTTCATCTGAACAGCACCACCTCTGAGAATACAATGCACCCCCAGCATTAGAGTGTCAGCTTATCCTGCAAACTCAAATTATACTCAGTAAAACTCATAATAAGTCGTATCAGTCAGGACCATAAGATTTAATGACTTACATGAAGTCCAAGTTGCAAGCAAATTTGTAAATTCACTTTATAGTATATCCTGTGAAGCGCTTTAAGGTGTCTCAACAACGTGATAAGGCTTATACCAAATGCAAGTATAATAATTCGTACAAAATCCGATTTAATCAATAATCTCCCCTATAATGCGTAATTCAATGCAGCCGGTAAGTATGTATGGGGTGACAGATCAAGACAACGTTTTCAGTGATTCAATATATCCTGACCTGTTGTCGCATGCCCATTTACCTGCAAGTCTTGGAATCGCATTGAATTGCGGGAAATGAAGTTCTTCTGCGCATGAGGCAAAGACAACATTTCTCACGATTCAATGCACCCAGTAACTGCGGAGTAATGGAGGATAAAGGAGCGGCGTTACAAGTTAGGAGATGATTAATACAACCAGTACAAAGAAATCTAAGTGTTTTTGCTGGGAAACTGAATGGGACACAGGTGCATGTACAACTTGGGCCATTATACGATTTGTAAGGATAAGTCTTATGTGAGTTTTACTGTATTAATCAAGATTGCTATGTTTACAATTGAGCACTAAGGACTCTGTACTCTTTTATAATCAATACATTAATTGGATAAATCAAAATGCCATTCTCATGAAAAAATCTGCTCACAAGAAAACAATCACAAATAATTTCCCGAACACAAGTACAGTACAGTACCTGGCAGTTGGAGCTCAATGCAAATTTGGCAAGAGCACTGGCTTTGGATAAATCAATCAGCAACAGAAAGAATGGCAAGGCTTCACTGTGAAGAAATGTCAGGTTAGAATTAATCTAATGCAACCATTATTGTAAAATTCAAGTGGAAAAAATACATTAGCTTTCACAACTGCAATTAATGGTCATTTTGAATTTCTTAGCAATAATTTAGTTTTATTAAAGGCTCCATGACCCCATCACTCTCACTCTCGCCCGACTCTACTGGCTCCCCATCCCCCAGAGAATCGAGTTCAAGACCCTCGTCCTAATCTTTAAGGCCATCCATGGCCTTGCCCCCTCCTACCTCTCTGACCTGCTGACTCCCTACCAACCTGCCCGCTTCCTCTGTTCAGCGGGCTCTGGCCTGCTCCATGGCTCCCGCTCGACCCACCCTACCATCGGTGGCCGAGCTTTCGGCCTCTCTGCCCCTACACTCTGGAACTCCATCCCACGTTCCCTTCGCCTAGCTTCCTCCCTTCCCTCCTTCAAGGCCGGTCTCAAGACCCTTCTCTTCGACCGTGCCTTTGGTCTCCCTCCCACCTCTCTGCCTCCCTCACCCCTACACCACCCCTCCCCCGCTCGGGCCCCGACACCTGACTGTTCAGTGCTTCGGGACGACCTCCCGACGTGAAGGGCGCTCTATAAATGTAATTTTGTTGTTGTTTATTGAATACCAAGCAATACTTATGGTGTTTTGTTTACTGATTTGAAAACCTTAGGTTTGTTACACTTTAGTGCAATGCAATCTGGATTAGGACTTGTCACTGATACAAATTTACATTTATATAGCACCTTTTATGTCAGGACGACGACCCTAAGCATCACGTTTCTAATTTTAGCCATTCTGTCCAAGCACAGTATAGAACCAAATTTTCTCACAGAAAAAGTTACACAAGTCATTTATTCTGGCACTATTAAAAAATAGTACAGGTGGCATTGGCAGAAGTTTGGGTGATCATCTGCCAGTTATAAGAGTCGAGAAGCTAAACTGTTTTCTAAATTAAAATATTCTTCTGCATTCCAATCATACTATAGGCACTGATCCTTGAATCAATATCTATGGAAAAGCAATGGTAAATCTGGCTCCATGCAATAATTAAAAATGAATGCAAATACTGATAAGGAGCTAAAATAATTTACAGGAGACATAGAATTATGACTACAGTTTATGGGGCAGAGCTGCAGCTCACTAGCACACCTGTTCGCTTGTTAATGTTAAAAAAACAAATTCCCAATATCTTTGTTGGTAAAGCTTACACATAGTGTGACCCTAACTGAAGAGAGATCAGGAAGATCCTAAATTTGATCCCCAGTCTATAGTCAATGCTTTTATGCAAGAAAATTTGAGGCAAGAATTTATTTTTAGCAATTGGGCAGGGCATCATGGGGAGTATTTTAAACTTTAATAAACAAATGTAAAAATTTACTTTTCCACATGCTCCCGAAAGGTATTTGTAAATTTATATACCACCTTTCACATCGGGAGGATGCCCAGACACTGGATAGTTTAAAGTTTGCATCTACTACAACAACAAGATTACATTTGTGTAGCGCCTTTCACATCGGGAGGACGTCCCAAGATGGTGGGACATCTAAGATGGTGGTGGGGGCCGAGGAGGGAAAGATGGTCAAAGGTGCAGTCAAAGAGGAAGGTCTTGAGGCAGACCTTGAAGGCAAGGGACTCCAGGATGGAGTTCTATCGAGTAGCAATAGATAAGCTGAAAGTGAAGGGGATATGAAGAAGATATGCACGTTGAACGATCAGATTTGAGAGTTTTGAGGAGGTCACAGAGATGTGGTGAGGGAAGACCATGGAGGATTTAAAGGTTAGGGTGATCATCTGGACTCGATCCACTGGGGGATGGAGAGCTAGTGGAGTTGGGTTTGGAGAGGGTGAGAGGCTCGCAAAACCTAGTGCAGGAAAGGACACATGCTGCAAAGTTGTGGATAGGCTGCAGCTTGCGAAGGGAAGAAGCAAGTAGTCCACAACCACAGAGTTGACATCTAGCCTGGACATGGTGAAAGTATTGATTAGGGTTACGGCATCCTGGTGCGAGAGGTAGTGGAGGATGCAGGAGATGTTACAGAAGTAGAGGAAAAGCTGAGTAGTTCAGAGCATGAATGTGAGGTTTAAAGGACAGTTGAGTTAACCAAGATAACATGGTTCCACACAGGCTCCACGAGGTTGAGCATGCATCCAAAGAGAGGGCCAAGGATAGAGTTCCAAGGAATGCCACATGTTGCAGTTTGAGGGTTTGCTTTGGACTAACTATTTATACTGTAACTGGAGCAAAGTCATAATGACTACTACCTCCTGAAAGTTACCGCATCAATCACATCTCAATCTTGCATTTAAGAGTACATTGCAGAATCTGAATTAGCTTCTATAATGTGCAAACGCAGGCTTCATTAAACTATAATATTCAAAAAATCAATATTCACTTAAATGAAAATGTTGTATTCTAATTGTTAGGACTCACTTGAGGCCAGTTAGTTCTTTATCCAGAAAATGAATGACTACGGTGCTGAAAACAAAGCTGGAAAAGATGGTGAACAGACCAGCAATCCCTAAAAGAGGAAGTAAAAGTCAGCTGCATTAGAATTGTTTTCCATTTGTTTTCCCTGCTACCCAAACCCAAATATTATAAAAACTGAAACAAAACTGAAAATATATACAATACAAAATTACATTTGTATAGCGCCTTTCACGTCGGGAGGATGTCCCAAGGCACTGGTGCAAAAGTATACATATTTTAACAGTTCAATTTTAGAATCAAATGGTAGTTCAGACCATACCCAGCATATACTTTGAACCAAGCTGTCGGAGGTTCTGGAATTGGAAATATATGTAGAAAATTGCTAAACAGCGGGTGATGGTCAAGATTATGATGTCACTGCTCAATACCTCCTATGGAAACAAAATTCATGCTGATGAAAAACAAGTAAAATTTCACAAATCAATAAATTAATTTCATTAAACAATTATTTCCTCCCCAAGGATTTCATTATTTTTAAACAACTAAATTACCATGTAGAATGAGCTCTGAAATATTCTATCACACTCTTACCTCTTCAACCTTAGGACATTCAAAGTTCCAGCCACATATCTGATTATTTCCAGTAAACATATTCATGGACATCATGCAGATGGTAATAGTAACTGTTCCCACAATCACCTCCCAAGGATGGGAGGCAACAAAAAAACCATGCATCCGGAACAACCTTGACAGCATTTTTTCTATCTTTAATTTGACCTGAGAGGAAAAGATAAATAAATAAATTACCATTTTCTGACAGCAGTAACATTGCACAACAACTCAGTAACTAATAATAAAATGGTTAAGAAAAGGGTTACCAGGCAAGGTGACTGAGACTCAAAACAGCTTTATGCTACAATGATGCCTTGGGACATCTTTTACAATGTAAAAGGTGTTATATAAATGTAAATTTGTACTGAAAGATAGTAGACTGAGTATTCAGGAAGAACAATAAATGGAATGCAAGGGCCCTGCAAATCTGAAACTCTTCTGATAGCAGTGGGAGACATGGTGGGCTGAGTGGCCTTATCCTCTGACAAATAAAATCAATGTTCAAATGGATTTGCGTAAATGTTCACAGTTAGAGGTCTATATTGGCAAGTTTTTTTAAATGCAGTTTAATAGAGCAAGCAAATCAGGTTTTCATAGAAGTACAGTATTTCACAAGAAAAAAGAGGGTGTGTTTAAGATCAGATGCTAAAACTGCACAGTAACATTAATTTGTTTTATTGCAAATTGGTAAAATAGAATCTACAAAATTATATTTAAAAGAAAATGAAATGTCATAGTCTCCAAAGTGTCCATCTGGCAAAATTTCCTTAAACCCATTTTTGTAACAAATTGAAGTCCATGCTTTAGGAAAGAAACGTGTTAGATGAACTAATGAGTTCTCTAAGGATTACACATCATATTCTAAAACAGAAATAACAATACAATTCACGTCAGGAGAACATCCCAAAGTGTTTGACATTTCGGGCTGGGGACCAGACCTGGGAGGGTGGGGGGGCAAGAAGCCAGAAAACATAGTTAAAGATGTACATTTCAAGGCATATCTTGGAAGAAGGAAGAGGGAGAGAGAAAGTTAACAGGAGCTTCATAGAGCAGGTGCCAATTGGCTGAAAGCCGCTGAAGCTGGGGTGGATAGAGGGGGATGTGGATCAGGCCAGTGTCGGCCAACTGAAGGGAACACTTGGGTTGGTGAAGGAGGTTGCGGAGGTGGGGTAGGGGCTAGCCCATGAAAGGATTTAAATGCAACAACAAAGATTTTGAATTCGATCCACTGAGGGATGAGGAAACAGTGAATCCGAGCAAGGATGTGGAGCTGGCTCAGGAGAGGACATCGGGTACAAAGTCTTGAATAGACTGCATCTTATGCAGGGAAGTCCAGCGGAGTATTGGCATAACCAAATCTGGGAAAAATAAAGGTGCGTCTCGGGCACCCAAGAGGAAAGGCATGCACAGCATGCAATATTGCAGACATGAGGGAAATCTAAGCGTGCGAGAGCATAGATGTGGATGATAGTTGGGGGGTAGTTAGAATCAGTCAGCATCTCAATGGATTTAAATCATGGGTTTCAAAGGCAAAGCAGTACACAAGGAGTCTGGCATTTTTTGTTTGCTTCCTATTGTAAAAGCTACATTAACAACAGTGGATAAGACATCACAGAACCAACCAGCATTTGCTTAGTTAGTCGCACGTACTACACATCAGAAGCAACATTTCTGCTATACTGTCTATTGTTTATTCCAGTATTGCCTAGCACCTTTTTAATAACCTAATTAGCTCCAAGATATACTGTGACCTTAACGGAGCACAACACACCTTTGAAAATGAAGAAACCTGATAAACAATCCTATGGCAAATATGTACTTCACAATGAAGGAATATTGAAGTGCGTCATAGCAATTTAGAAAACCCTGACACTATTTTTGGCTGTTCCAAGAAGATGAATCCTCTTCTGGTTCCAAATTAAGTTTGTAAAGCTGCAATGTGCTAATACTTGACAACAACTGAATGCAGATTTGAAACTGTGACTCTCACACACACACACACACACACTCAAAGCAGCCCCAGTAATGCAGGTCAAATTGGCATTAAAATGCATCAAACTTTTATTTGGTAACTTTATACCACATTTCCAAGTTAACAGTTCCCAAATATACGTGAGCATAGATTCCAATGGCACAGTAAAAGCTCAAAGTCCAGTAGCTCAGTGGTTAGAGCACTTGCTTTGCAAGCGAGACACCTGGGTTCAATTCCTGGCAGGACAAAACCTTGGGCAAGTTTCCTTACTCCACACGCCTAATAATAATCCCTCCAAAACCAAAACAATAATAAATTGGTCATTTTCAATCCATGACTGTTTGTGGGACATTGCTGTGTGCAATTGGCTGCTGCGTTTCGCCCACAAATATACAATCAATTCACTTTACAGCATATTCCGTGAAGTGCTTTGAGATGTCTAGAAGAAGCGAAAAGCGCTAAATCCAATGCAAGGATTATTATTATTATTATAGCTATTTTACTGTCATCCGTTCATTCACATTCAACTTGAATGCAACAGATAACTCTAAAACAATCTATAACATCACAAAATTCCCAAACTTTACTCTTGGGGATTTCCAGAACGACTCACGTAAGACAGCTTGACATTATTGCAATTTATTGCATCGATATGAAACAAATAACAAGGTACAGAATATAGAAAACTTCTGTTTCAAACTTTCATTACACTTTTACTGGTAGGCAGTACAAGAACTTGCTACATTGGCACAAAAATAAATCCTACACCTAGTTTTGCAGGGGAACAATAAAGAAAACACAAAATTCCTGAGCTTTACTCTTGGGGATTCACAGGACTTGGGTGCGGCAGCTTGACAGTATTACAATCTTATTGCATCACTGTGAAATCAAATTTATCAAGGTTATGACTTCCCATCAGAACGCTGGCACCTCGACAGTTAAATACAATTAGTTGCAACCATTTATCTCTAACACCCCAGCTGGAGACTGCTGTGCCCAGCTATTATTGTTTATCTATTTGATTTGTGTGCATTTATGTTACCAGTATGTTCACTGTATAATCTAACAATAATGAACTCCAAATTGTGTATTTATTCAGGCTATTAAAACATCTGTTTTTATCCAATTCTTCACCACATGCCAAAATGATTTATTAGGGCTAAACAAACATGCACAAAACATGCACATATAATGCAAATCTTACTATTGCAGTTTAGAAAACCATTCCACCCATGAAAACTCACTTCATTAGCAGCACAGTAATATGAACAATTTAACTTTATCCTTTTTCCATGTACTAAAGATTGCAATCCAGGAATTATTCAACCAAAAATATTCAAACTTTCCATCTAAATTTAATGTGAAATTATTTATGAAAATACTATCTTGGAACAGCTTCATTAAGAAATATCAATGACACTAATGGGTGGGGTGATCCTAGCTGGACATGCAGTGGGAAAGTTTGCCAGACAGCAATATCAATGGCAAGCTCTACGGTTTTAGCTGGTTAGACTCCAGCAGTACCCCAAAGCACACTCTGGGATCCCCAAGCCTTGGATCTTGCCAAACTGCGCCTAATACTTTCCGGAATTAGGTAAGCAGGATGTGTCCCTCCAGGGAGAGTGTGCACCTTCCATTCCAACAATCTATCCCTGGGATTTCCATGTCTAGGTGGGATGCGTGGAATTTTCAGTTTGGTTTGAATAATTTTAAGCATGGTGATGGGTTTCCACATGTGTCAAGACATCCGGCTGACCAAAAAAAGAACAGCTAAAAAAAAAACTTAGTAAAACATATCTTCAAAACAAAATAAGGAATTTCTGTCGTCAAAAGTACTGAAAACAACATTTAGAAAACTTCTGTTTCAAACTTTCACTACTCTTTTATAACAATAATCCTTGCATTTTATATAGCGCCTTATCGCGTTTTCAAGATGTCTCAAAGCGCTTCACAGAATATACTGTAAAGTGAATTGACTGTATATTTTATGGGCGAAACGTGGCAGCCAATTCAGCAGAGCAGTGACCCACAACAGTTGTGGATTGAATAACAAAATTATTTTTTTTTTGGTGGGATTATTACCCCCAGAAAAGCGATCCGCCAATCGACTAACCGGTTTCCTACTTACTGCTAGGTGAACAGAGGCGTGTGGCGTAAGGAAACCTGCCCGAGAATCAAACACAGGTCCTCTCACTTGTGAGGCGGTTGCTCTAACTAGTGAGCTACAGGACTCCACTTTTATTGGCAGGCAGCACAAGAATTTGCTACAAGGCACACAAATAAATCCTATGCCTTGTTTTGCAGAAAAGCAATAAAGAAAGAACAGAGTTCACAAACTTTACTCTTAGGGATTCCCAGAAGGACTCAAGTGAGGCAGCTTGACATTTCGCTGTAAAAGCTCTCAACTAATTGTGGAAAAGGAGTCCGAGCATAATACATCAGAAAATGCAAGATGCTGATACTTTATATCTTAAAATTGCAATACTGAAAAAGTAGTGCTGCACTTTATCAACTGAACCATCGGAGAAACCGCAGAGGTTTCCTCTGTCTCTTGAGGAATAGGGAGCCACGGCGGTCTGGAGAGGATGGGGTGGGGGGGGTGACAGACCTGGCTTGGGAAAGAGTACAGGCTGATCTTGTGAAGGCTCGAGCTGGGAAGGATGCGAAGGAAGGCATTGGAGACATCAGGCCTGCAGATGTTGATAGCATGGATGAGTTGAGTGTATTAGGTGAAGTAGTTAAGTAGTCAAAACAGATAGACCTAAAATCTTATATAAGCCATTACATTACAAACCACCCTCTTAGATTGCTTTTATATATTAAACTAGTTCTAGCTTGTCTAGTCATAGTTTATTGTTTTGACACTTGGAATCCTCCTCTTTACTCTTTTTCTGGACTGCCTCTGAACATGAACAGCTTCCTTGCTTCATGTCAACCAGAACTGTATGCAGTGCTTTAGGTGTGGCTTGATCAGAAAGCTATACAGCTCAAGTTTGCCTTCGTGGGAACTGAACTTATCTGATTTAGCAATAAAATACCATTTTAAGTCAGAGCTATGCCAGTTAAAAATGTGGTTAAGGACAGCAATGAGGTTGCCTTGACACCGTTTGTATTCAAAAGATGGTAGACGCTTACCATGAACGCTCATACACAAATAATAGCCACTTGGTTGGGTAGCTTTGTAGGGGTGGCA